TTACATTCGATTTGGAATTATTTTTATTTCTCATATCACGCAGGACAGAAAAAAAAAGAGGTCGCATTTTTTACAACATTTTACAAATTAGTAGTCAATAGGAACAGGATGCTGCTCGTTAAAAACTTTCCTCATAAAAAAAGAAGAAAAAAAAGCTTATTTTTTACTTTTAATGCTTTACTTTTCAACTTGGCACAGTTCACATACTTGTGAAAGTTTTTTAGCATTATCATCATTTAAAAGATTTTGAAATATGTTTTACAAATATTGAAATTTTCTTAGCCTTTTTCATAGTGATGCTTCCTTATTAACACTTCCCATTTATAATTTACACACTTTCTTCCGACTTTTCTTTGTTTATTTCTTTCAAGCTTGTAATTAAATGTAACATGCCATATCCTATTGAAAATATTGAAAAACGTTAAACAATACTATATATTACTGACTCAATTCTGAGTGTTCGACTATCATTGTTCAACTCCGCAGCCTTGTAATTTTGCACTCAATCAAGAAGACAAGTGAACTTCTTGAGCAAGCATTAGGAACATTTCTGGGTTGATGGAACTACACGGAACACGACTTTTTGATGGAACTAAACCGTATTTGCGATACATTGAGAGGAGAACACGAAACCCCCCACAGCAAGTGAATCCTGACCCATTATCCGTCAACCACTGATGATATTTTTTGTCAGCATTGCGGTTGGTGCGAGCCAGGAGCAAAATTTGTATCAGTCAAATTCGAGCCTGGGTCACCTCATTAGGAGCCGAACGCTCTATCCCTTGAAACACAATGGTTCAAACCATAATGTAGTGTATATTTTTTTCAACCTAAATAAATTACTAAATAAAACCACAGTAAGCATATTGTGTATTAAATTTATTTCCGGCCACTATAGCCCATCTTAAAAGAGAATACGATTCCTATTACCAACGTATAAAGATTGAAAAGATTTTGTAAGCCATTATGGTTTAAAGTATCATTCTTAAAGTGAAAGATTGTAAGCAACAATATACCTGGAACATTTTAATTATAATTTCTGTGCATTTTTCGTTCCTACTGTCCTGTTCCCTATAATCCTGTAACTATTAAGAGAGATTTTTTTTGGAATCCTTAAAATGCCAAAAATGATCTGTTGAAATTGGCTTATGTAAGGTACATTCCACAATTTGTTTAATAAAACACACAACTCAACCACAACCTAACTCCAATGCCCATTACCTAACGAAGAGCTAAGCTCTAATATCCAGTTAAGTTTCATTATTACAGTTTTGAAGCCATGCTAGTTGCAAATGGTTAAAAAAACCGTGTATTTGTTTTCCGTTCGACCGTTTTGAAATTTTATGTTTTTTTTTAACCATACTAGTTGTAAACGGTTTAAAACCGTAAAGAATTTTTTCGTAACCGTATTAACCGTAAAGGAGATAAAGAAAAAATTTTCTTTACCGTAAACGCTGTGGTTAATTGGATAGATAGACTGCTGCCGGATATTTTGTCGTAATTTTAGAATGAAAATTCTAACAGTGCTGTTCCACTTATCAATGAATGAAAAGATTTTGTATGCCATAATGGCTTAAAGTTAAATATTGTAGTCAACAATATTTTTAGAACATTTTCATTAAAATTTCCATATATTCTTCATTTCATGTTATCCTATTTCCTATAATCTTATTTCCTATAATCCTATTTCCTATAATCCTATTTCCTATAATCCTATTTCCTGTAATCCTATCCATTTTAAGATAGTTTCTTTTCGGAAACCTTGATATGTTACAAATGATCGGTCGAAATTTATTTATTTACGGTTATTTTTCTCTAAACATAGCCTGACAAATTGATTAAATGTCTTGCTAATATCTCATTGATCTAGGCTGATTAAATGATTTAGTTACTCTAAATAGAAAAATCTATGTGCGAAAATAACTCTGCTTTCTAAGTGTATTTTAAGTAAACTTTCATGAGTTTTCGTAAATTTATATGCATGCAATGACTTTAGCCTTATATGTGAGTTTTTTTCTGATTATAATTCACCTAAAAAAAGTAAATTACACAATACTCATTCTTTACTGCTATGATTAACATGCCATTAAAAATTAAATGTTTTCATTCATACCAGATAAAAAAAGAAGAAGTAATATAGCTAATTAACAAAATTAATATTTCGAAAAAATAGAAAATTTTGTATCTATTTTTTTCTTGATATCATGCGTCGTTTATGTAAAACTTATATGACAATTTTTCATTTGTATTTTTTATAGAATAGTATTCTATATTAGTGGAAAAATGGAAGCTAAAGTTTTGTTTCATTTAATCATTTTTACTCTAGATTTAACAAAAACTCTAAAATTTATTTTGAATGATCTTCATAGATATTTCCATACTTTAAACATAAATCTGCTAATTTATTTTCTGTGTTGAACTATAATAATTGCGCCAATTACAAGTTTCCCAATTTGAAATCAATTTTCTTACTTAATTGGAGAAATATTAAAAAAAAAACATCACTTTAATTTGATTTTGATTCTAATGTCTTCATGGTTTAACCCCTTCAGGATCATGCACTGAGAAAAAAAAGTATGGTCAAAACTACCACAATATTGTAAGATTTACCATGTTTCTAATTTTAAGGGAACATCAAAAAGTATGGTAATTTTTACCAATGCTCTTTGGTAATGATTTTGCTAGAATTAAAGGTGAAATATTATTTTATAATTTGTGGTAAAATTTGGTAATTTTATCATGTAGTCTAGTTTCATGGCATAAGAACCATATATTCGGTTAAATTTACTTTTCAGTTTTCTATTTCTACTAAATGTGTGGTAATAATAGCTATGATTTTGAAAAAAAGAATTACCGTTTAGAACAGAAAAAATTCTGAAATGGATGGTTTAAATAACATATATTTTAGTTTTATCACAAAAACTATAGTTTTTTTTTTTTTACCAGATATGCCTTTACCAAATTGTGTGATAATTTTACAAGAAATTTTTCCCCCACTTGCTCAGGTGTACGTGATCGCGTGATTTCTACCGTCACGGCACTGAAGGTAGAATCACGCGAAGGTAGAATCATAAATTAAACGAGTCTTTCTGACTCGAGTGGCCCGAGATCACCCGGTTCTGATCTTAATTCGGTACTCTCGTATTTCATATCATATTTGTACGCACGCGTTCTCTTTAGTATGCTTAAACTTGGAGGTGCGTGATTAGGGAAGCTTTTCTTTTTAGTTCCGCCGGTTCTGAGAGGGTTAAACTAGTATTGAAATACTCTTTTTAATAAATATATAAATAATGATTTTTAGTTAGAAATCGAACCAGATTTACAAAAATATAAATGTCTGAAATTTTATTTTGAGCCCCTGTGTAGAGCGCAAAATAAATAGATTATCACCCTAAATTGCTTTTGTTCAGATGATCGAATTATCACGAACTACGTACCAATCTTCATAGTTTAAGGGTATGTCTTCAAATATTCCAAATATTTAGTGTGGATTATCAATTAAGCTACGGTATCACAATATGGTCCCTATAATTAAGTCTGAAGAGCTATACACAGTTTGAGCCCTTTAATAATGCTCTGTAAAAAATGATTTCTCAAGATTGAGCAAAAATGTATTTTAACAAATGCACAAACAAACAATAGTCGAATTTGAAAACCCTGTGAAACCTCATTATTGAGTACAGTAACTTGCTGAAAACAGCATAGATTCCTTTTTGAGCACGTCACTATACTCAATAATGAGTGCATGTAGATTTCAAATTCGACTATATTTGTTTCGGAGCTATTTTGGCACATTTTGACTCTTTTAAAAAAACCATTTTCACAGTGTAATTTCACTTGAAACGTGATTCGTCCTATCTTGATATCTTTGTAAGCGAAACTAAAATTTTTTGCACGCAATTATAAAATTCAATTACCAAATATAATTCCACATAAAAAATTAATTTTTATTATTTTACTTACTTTATTTAATAAGAGTTAAAAATATTTTGAACTGAAAGAATTACAAATTCATTTTAAACTGAGTAATTTTAAGCGACAGGATACAAAATAGAACAGAATCGTTCAAATAATTTTTTAGAAATTAAAGTTTAAAAATAGTATATCTGTTTTAAAACTACTCAGCTGTTTTGAAAGCAGAAACTGTTCGGCCGATTTCTCTCAAATTCAAACTTTTGTCATTTAAAATTATACATTTTAAAATGGTGTAAAGTTTGTACAGCTTAAAATTTTGGTGCCTATTAAATACAATAAAAAATTATAAGTGATTATTAAAAATTACTTTTAAAAATTAAATTTAAATGAAATTAAATTAAGAAGTCCAAACTTACGACCGCTTTCCTCGACTTAACTATTAAGATCATATTTTTCAGATTGCGAAAAATTCCCACGTATTTTGATAGTAAAACATCTAAAAATGTTGATAAAAAAGACATATTTATTCAGAGAAAGTACCTTCTTTCACCTGATTTAGGAACTTAATAGTTAGCACATTAGAGGTACGTAAAAATTCGATAATTTCACCAAAAGTTATTTAAGATATCTTTTTAATTGGTGCACTGTACACTCTTCTTTTATATCTACCGTATAAACCTAAACAAAAAAAGTACTAAATTCGTTTTGTTTGATAGGTCCTACATCAAAAGGAATAATCAAAATAACTCGTTTAAAATACTATAGTTTTTACTATTGAAGCAAATTGTGAATTAAACGATTTCAAATATAATTCGACAATACATTTTTAAATTTAAGTTTCTTACAAATAGCTAATTTAAAATAAATTATGATTTCTTAAAGTTGCTAAATTACCTTTAGCAACTTTAAGATTAGCAACTTTAAGCGACAGGTAAAATGATAATTTTTTGTAATTGGCAACATAAAATTGCAATTAATTTGCAGAAATTTTAATTAGTAATTTGTACTTTTTTTTGCGGAAATGAAATACTTGTAAGACGCTAATAAATTAATAACACTGGTTTTACTTTTTATTATAAAAAATTACATAAAAGAAAAGTTTTACATAATCTACAATTCATTGTTAAGAAAATTTGAGGAAAATATATTTTGTTTCCATCATCTTGCTTCATCTCCTCTGTAAAATTCATCCTGATCTCACTAAGTTAACAATTCTCTGGAAAAATGATGTTTCTAAAAAAAAAAAAAAACTTTATCCGTATTAAAATGTAAAATTGAATGCACGGTTATAGTCTACTAATGTAAAAGTACTCACTATTAACAAACAATAAAATCTACCTTTTAAGGAATTTAAAATAATAATCACCATGAGACTCTCAACTAATCCGTATTTTGTGCTATTTCGGACACAGTTTTTTTTTTTTAATAAATAGATTTTTATTATTTTAAAACCTGACAAAGTGGTTGGATATTTTTGTTTCAAAACATTAGTACCTCTCCGATACAATCGTGGTATAATGATGAAATTCTGATAAACTTGGTTTCATAAAAACGAATAATATTTCTTAATAGATATGTTTAAGCTGACGTCACTTCATTTTCCTGTCCACTAGAAATCCATCAATGATCAATCAGTTAGAGATGCAGCCAATAGAAAGTCAAATTGTTTAATAAGAATAGTGCAGATGGAAATCGATTGAATTATAGTGGGACACTGATCCAGTTCAACATCTGACTTGGACATATTATGCTTATACGGTTATGAAAAAGAAAAAATGTAGCCATTTTGTTGGGAACTGGTTTTTTTTATTTTATTAAATGAAACAAAAGTAACTATGCTTTAAAGTAATTTTTGTAAAATAGTACGTAATGTGAAAAGTTTCTTTTATAATTTTTATACTAATCTTTGAAGGTAAGTTAATCAAATTAAAAAAATCTAGTTTCATACGAATAGATATTTAATTACATTAAATCCTGGTTCAACTCGCTTAATGGCAGTACATTAAATTCATATAAGTAAAGTAATGATTTTTTTTCTGAAGCTTTTCTTCTTATGCTTTTTTCTGATGCAATATGTTCTTCTTGGTGATTTTTTCTGTTTACCGTTTGCAACAGTGAGGATGCTCGAGATATAATATCAAGGCAAGAACACAACACTAAAGTATACCTCAGATTAAAGAAGTATTTTTAGTGTATGGATTTATGTGTGTTATATCTTGAGCTAGACAATTCTGCAATACAAGGTATAACATATTTTCAATTACGAATACTCAAACTTGTTCTTAAATAATATAATAAAAATCATAGAACTTTGCATAAAATTTTTTAAAAAAATGGAAAATAGCTATTTTTTAAAAAAAGGGGTGTTTTAAAAAACTTTGAACTGTCTAGTACTATACTTAATTTAATTAGTTTGAATTTAAATTATACTTAAAATACTTCTTGCTAAACAATTGTATTGGACATTTTTAGTTTCTTCCATTTTGTCTAGTCTCTTCAATTTTCTAGTGTTTTTTCTATTCTTTCAGTGTTATTCAGTTTTCTGGAAAAAATAGGTTTCTTTTGAGTAACTTGCAAACCATGTATATATGTTACATAAATTAACCCCACTACTCTTAGCTAACGCCACATTTGTGAGTACTCAATGCAACGGTAAATATCTAAAAAATATATAATGATTGTCGAAGTATAGTTTGCAAAGTAAAAAAACGGATCACCCTGAATGACCTTTGATCCAAAAATCGGATCATTATGTGAAGATCCGATCATTTGATCGAAAGTTATTCAGAGTGGTCCATTTTTCCTTCTTTTCTAAGCGCACTGTACATCTAAAACATGATGGGTGATGGAGATAAGTAGTTTGCATATTTTGAATCAGCATTATCTTAGAAAATGCATTGTCTACCTAGATATGGGCAATTTTTTGAAATTTGTTTATCAGTGTAACTGTCGTAAATTTTTGCTATTAGACGTACGTTAATCATAACATAGTTTGAAGAAATAGCTTATCAAAACCGAATGAATTTAATTACTGTATCTTTAAACAAAATAAAGTAAATGTAAAATGCTTGAACTAATTGTTTTCCAAATGCACACATTAATGTTCTAGAATTTTTGCAAATATTTGCTATCCAACATACGAGCATCATAACCTGTAGCATAAAAAAGCATTAATTAAAAAGTGACGCTATCTAATTTAATACTTATTCTCTGTACCTACTAAACTAAAAATAAAAAGTTCACATACCTCCATAAGTGGAATCGAAAGTGTAATTGGTCAGTCCTTGTCTCACATCACTGAATGGATCCCTGCAATTACTTGAAAAAGAATGATGAAGCCAGGCTGTTTGTAGAATCCTTTCATCTAATCCTTCATAGATATGTCCTAATAATATTATAAAAGAAATATTTGCAAATAAATGTAAATTATTTTAATTAGGAAAAATAATGAAATCATTTTTATAAATTGGTTAATATTATAATTGATAATTATATATGATGTTTCGCTCATTATGAAAAAAACTATTTTTATAAATATTATTTTATGACTTGTGTATATATTTTGTAAATATTGCAAATTTTATAAATTAAATAGAAACATATAAATAGAAATATACAAATAAACTAATGCAAAATATATTTTTAAAATTATAATTTTAAAAATATATTTTGCATTATTTGTAAAATATATTTTTAAAATTATCATTTAACAAAAAGGCTTTATTTTAAAATTATATTACTAATAAAGTTTTTAAACAAAGATCGTGATATATCAGCATGCATATTGTATTTATGTTTTAAAAAAATATTGGGTAAAAGAAACTAGAATAGGATGCAATTTTCTATTTCATGACACAGTTTTTTTTAAAGAAATAATAGTGACATTTACTCTCTCCAATAAAAAATATTACCTTTTTAGCAACAGTGACACTTCAACTATTGACATAAAAAATTCAACTGTCTATAAAAAAGTAAATAGTTTTTTTTCCAGGGTAGTTGAAATTTTAAGCTGATTAAAAGTTAAATGTTTTCATTGAAATTTTAAGGATTTCAATATTTTCTTGAAAAATATTTAAAAATTGTAATTTTTCTCTTGAAAATTTCAAAACTGACACCTGCATTGCAATAAATGAAGACAACTGGGAGCAGTTTACTCCCATAAATGATGATTCGGAGAAAAAATGATTTTGCATGATATATCAATGTAGGTTTAGAACTTTAGATAGGGTTGCAACTGAAAGAAAAAAATAAACTCTTTCTAAAGATTACTATTTCTTAACATAAAATGTTCTCAATTTCAACACTACATAAAAGAAACGAAAATATAGTGTATTTTCAAAAGTCCAGGAAATTAAAGATTACAAAATGTATTGAGTGAAAAGTAAAGAAGAGAGTGGTGTAAGAACAAATGTGAAGTAAATTCAAAATCTGATCACAAGATACTACAATGTATACTTTCATACTTGTAGTTTCAGTGAAGCTGTCTGCAAATAAACCTCAATTAAAAAACAAGAAATTATTTACCTGCCCAGCCTTTAACAGTTCTTTCAGACCCTGAAGTGATCCCTAAAGCAGTGAATGTCAGTCCACCGTCACTTCTTCCAGCAACAGAATTATTCTTATGATCGCCTATGAAAGAAAAATCAGCTCTTTGTTATATACTCAATAAATTAGAATCAACATAATATTAACTTTGTTAGTATAAATAGCACAAAAATCGTCAAAACTGGTACATCAAAAGAGATTTTCAAAAATTCTGACCAGGGATAAACAGTTAAGTACCTTCCACTTAGTAAGGGGTAAAAATTAACATGAGCCCCTATATTGGTCTTGGAGGAGGGAAATAAGACAACTTAAATTTTGCTATCTAGACAAATGAAGTATTGCTTATGAAATATTGTATAATTAGCAATATTGAAATATTATATTTCTACGATGAATCAAATGATAAAAAATGCGAAACAATGCGATAAGTACATAAAGATTTAAAATAATTTTGAGTATAAAAAGTTCAATGTCTGACTTATACTTATTTATGCATCAGATATTACTTTCTAGACAATTAAATTATTGTTATCAATTAAATTCGCCATATCTCGAGAACTTTTTAAATAAATCTAAAAATAAAATTCATTTATTCAAAGATAATTAAACGCAAGCAATTACTTTTAGTAAATACTCATTATTTTTTTTATAATATTTAAATTGTATTGTATTTATTGTTATTATATTTTTAAAAAAAATGTCGAAAAAACATTGAATTGTAAGATATACAATTATTTACATTATTTTACAGACTAATTCTAATTTTGTGCTACACCGGTTAAATAGTTCCAGAGAAATTTAATTTTAAAAATACGGCTTTTTAAAAATTCAAATTCTCTGGTTTATTCCACAAAAAAAATAAATAAAAATGTTTGTGTGCCTGGTTTCGTAACTTAAAATATCGTCTGCACTAATTAATTAGCAAATTTTAGGTAACCCTTTCGAATCATTAAGATTCAGTCCTTAAGAGTGAAGATCCGATCTTTAGATAAAAAAATTATTGAAAGTTGTTAGTTTTTTTTTTTCGTCGTTCCATTGTACGTATGTAATAATTATTAGACAAATATCGGTGATTTAATTATTTTTGACCATAAAAGTGTTCTTAGTGCTACAATAAAAAAGTTGTTAGCAGTTTTCATAAGAAAAATAAATCATATTTTAATTTATTACCCAGAAATGCTCCACTTTCATGGCAGTCCTCAAAACCAATTGCATCTCCATTTTCAGCTACCCACTTGCCACTCGACGCAGCTGAAAGTAGTTAGTTTAAAACATTTTATATTTTTGTTTTTTTGAAGAAAACAAATTTTTTGAACAAGGATAAAATTCATAAAGAAATGCAAAATAAATAATACATAAAAATTTTTTCTATTAAAATTTTCATCTTTATATTTAATTAACATTTTATGTTGCAACTTTCATCAAACTAATTTTTATGAAAAATAAATTACCCATTTCATGTTCCTTTGCATGTGGAAATGCATAATTTGTTTATATTTTTTCTTATGTAGATAATGTTGTATATGTAATCTTCTGTAACGTTAAGAATCAGGTAAAATGGTATGTATTTTTTATTTTTTTATTTTATTTAAACGACTTAAAACTCCTCATGCACCACAAAGTAAATGGTATGCATTAAAAATACCATTATGGAGAAAGAAAAGTATCTACTATTGTAATTTAAAATGGTTTTCCTATTGAAATCTTCGAAATCGTGCTATCATTGCGTATGTGCATGCAATACATACCATACGTACACAAGAACAACATACGAACACGTCAGAGACAGAAATAAGATTTATTTCTAAAATCAAACATTCCTAGTATTACCTTTTATATTCTTTTCACATCTTTGAGATCTTTCATCTTTCGGTAAAGGACCCTAAATAATAAAAAGAGAAGTTATAAATTTTTGAAAATTAATTCAAATATACTCTAATAGGTATAGAAACCTAAGACAAAAGTTTGAATCTAACATCGCGCGTTTGTGACACTAAGCCCCTATTTGGGCTACAATGTTTAGGAAGAAAGAAATTCCATCGCTTTTTTATATATTCTAATGTAACAGTGGAAACTATTTATGTATTTTTCTGTTATTTAACCGTTTACTAATGTTAGAAAATTTTTCTAAAAAACCAGTATACATGAAATCGTTTGTACAAAAAATTATATTTTGCTTGTTTTGTTTCGAACATAAAAGTTTTTTTAAATTTTTAATGATTTGGTAAAGGACCATAAATTATAAAAAGGAAGTCATAACATTTTTAAGCACTATTTAAAACATTTTTAAAGTTATCTAAAAAACTATAACCAATGTTTTAAACTAAAATCGTTTGTTTAAATGTTTTTTGCACTCAGAAAACAATTATTTAAAACCATTATTTTTGGAATCACACACAAAAAAATTGTACTTTGTTTATAACTTTAAAATAATATTCTTGTACAAACCAAGACGTGTTTAAAATAAAATTAGCTATCAATTGTTATTGACAGTTGGATACCTGAAAGCGACGTCATTTGTGCTTAGATTCAGAATGGGGTTCGACGCAGATGCGTAACGTTGTTTACAGCTATCTAATTAAATCGCTATCCAATTCATTAAGCGTGATAATAAACCAAGCCTAATTTCTGTAACATTAAACCACCTAGCACAACCACGTGATTAGGCCCATGTGATTTAAATCACATGGTTGGGTCTAATCCCTTATTCTTTACAAGTTGCAAGTACCCAATTGTTTTTATAAGGGGTAAATCTTGATACGCAATTTTAGTATGCTTTATTTGAAGTTTAAGTTTGTACAGTATTCGAGAAAAAAAAGTAGAACGTGTGTTATTGCAATATACCAATCTCCTTAAATGAAAGGGAATATTCTCCTCTCCTGGAACTCGTTTGAACACGTCTTGATTGACACGAGTGGACATCCATCTATCTGGACTCTTTTGTATGTAGGATCTAAGAACCCAAGAAGTGAAAAGAACTTCTTCATCATCACAAACGAGACACTGACCTGTGATTAAATCATAATGAAGGAAATATTTAAATAAACCAATTGTTCAAAATTAATAAAAAATAATAAGAATAAAAGGAGTGAAAATAGCACAGACAGACTGTACAGGTGATATATGAGATATATTACATCAAAACATTCAGGTTGGCTGAAAGAACATAGACAGACTGTACAGGTTAAATGTATGAAATATATTACATAAAAACATTCAGGTTGGCTGAAAGAACAAATTAATACAAACCAGTCCTATAATGCCTGGCTTTGAAGTAACAATTTGAAATAATAAGTTAGAAACTTCGATCAGATATAATAAAACTTTTATGTATGTTAAAGTTTTAAATTTTTTTGCTGAAAACTCGTTACTTTTAAGCCTATGGGACCTTGCAAGTGACGTAGTGTGGGTATTTCTATCCTGATTGGTTGTTGAAACGTGACATTTGCTTACCTTAGCAACTGTGTTTTCCATTCCTTTTCGAGTAAGTCAAGCCCGTCAAATATTAGTTCTCTTATGTGACACATTCTATATTCTTACACAAAGATTTCAATTATTTTACTATATATTCCTTACTTAACACAAAGAAAGGTATGAAGCCATGTAGAACATAAACAAGCAAATTATGTATTGAAGTTGCCAGGTACACAAAGCAAGTATAGACCTCGATTACAATGAAATACATAAACAAATAATAAATATAAGTTAATTAAAGAACATAGACGAGAAAGAATTATGTTTCAACAAATTCGATGTGCGATACGGCATTGTATTTAATTAACTTCACGTTAATTAACAATTTAACTTATGTGGAATAACTTCGTTTAATTTTAACACACCACTTTGCTTATAAACAATCATCTGGCGCTGATCTCAAAGATCACATGTGTGGGTATACGTGATCTTCTTCTTAAAGTGCAAGAACCCAATTCCCCCAGATTTTAAATAACTTAAAATTTCTTATTTTTAATATAATTTATATTTTTATTTTTAAACTGCACTCTGATCAGCAATTGTTTGTTTTTTTTTTTTTTTTTTTTTTTTTTTTTTTTTTGTTAAAGGTTTTTTTTTCTCAAAATAATTCGACAAATCTAATTTTTAATTTTTTTGTAGATATAAAAAAGAAAAATGCGTTTAATTCGAAGTAAATAACTATTAAATTATATCAATAAAGCTAAATTTATTTCTACCTTGTTTAAATATTACGCTGCTCAATAATTTCAAGAAATATGTTGTTTTCGCTACTACCTATATTTAGCTTTGAAAAACATTGTTTAAGAATGTTTACTTCAAAATATATTTAACCTAAACTGTCTCAAGTCTTATCTTTTATTGACGCTATGTTTCATAACTTTCCAGGAATGCTCAATACACGCCAACAACTTTAATGATTATGAAACGAAATAAATGTTTAGAAATATTTTTTACTCCGATTATAATTTAAAAGAATCAAAGGTTGATTTAAAATTCATAACATAATGTATTTACCTTAATAAAATGTAATGTTGTTATAAAATTTCCTATTTCAAAAATGTTAAAAGAAATAAATAATAAAAGCTCACAATGAATGAATTTGAAATTTATCAAAATAAAAATGCTTTTGACAAAAAAATCATAGGATAATACTTTAATTTTCAACTCCAAACTTAAAATGAGGAGTATTTTGTATAAAAAACATAAATGGATAAAAAATTACTTAAATTTTTAAGTCATTATAATCAACTTTTTAGTTTTTCATATTTACAATTTATCGTAAAATTTTATTATCAAAAATTCTAATTTTGTTTTATTAAAACATATTTCATCTCCTTCATTTATTTTAAAAATTTAATTTTAATTAAAATTTGCTTGCTTAGCATGCCCCTAAATAAAATTTGGTTTCAGCTCTTCAAAATATTGATTGCTTGAACTATAATACGATATAAGTTTGCCGTAATCTTAGTAAGGTGTTAAATTTAACTACGATTCTGTTCTATTTACTCAACAGTATTGTGTCATAAAGCTAATAATGTTCAATTTAGCGTGTCTGAAATTTGCAGTAAATTTGAACAGTTCTATGTGATTCAACCATATCTTAAATTTGTAACATAAAATAGTTTCTTTGGCAATTTAAATTTGACTCAATAGTGAGTAATAATTATCTTTTCCTCCAACTGTATTTTTCAAAAGCTCTTTTTCTCGCTCAGAGCATAACATTATACAGCATAGATAACATTTTTTTTCACTCGAAGCATGAAGCGGATACCTACAAATGACGTCATCGTAGGTAAATCGTGGAATTAGCAGACTCAAAAGCCAATCAGGTTCGAACAACACGCGTGGCGTTTTACAAGTATCGAATTAAATTTGATTTAAATCTTATGGTTGGGCATAATCACTTCACATCTTTTCAAGTTGAAAAATAATTTAATTTGTTCTTAAAAAGAGGGGGGAAGGGAAAGAAAGCTACGGTACTAAAAAAGGAAGAAAATGATATCAGAAGATATTGGATTCTTAGCCATTTCACCGTCGCAAGTAAATGCTCCTATACTATTAGTTTATTTTTTAATTATTTTGTTTATTCAAAAAAAGTTTAAAAGGATTTTTAAAAAACAGTTGAATTAACCATTTTTTCATTGGTCTTGGTCACATTATTGTCTGTATCGACGAAATAGATTAAATACCAAATATTGTTAGATTCAACGATGCTACCATATCTAAACTATATAACAAGGAATGAAATAGCGTAATATGACGTGATTTGGTAATTTGCTTTGGAGATGTTGATTAGCTGCTTCCATAACAGGTATGCTAAGTTCACAAAGGTATGTGTTAACCGTAGTACAATTACTGTACTGTTAACTATTTAAATAAATCAATAACTTTACTAAGTTAAGAATGACTTACCTACCCAGGTCGTTAGAGATTTTCCGCGATTAAATAGAACAGTGAAAGACAGTAGTGATCCGTCGTCCAAAGATGTAAATGTTCCTACAATTAAATTCAAATCTTAAATAAAAATAACATTCAATATAGGGCAAAATTAAGAAATTTTGCTATTGGCCAGTGGTCAATTGAAGCATTTTAAACAGTCATTACTGTTTTAAAACTTGTGGCCACTTTTTCAAAAGTTCAAAATTTTAAACAATTCAAAAAATGTCGATATTATTAATGCAAAGCAATGGCTCCCAAATGGTGTTCTGCGGAACTCTTGCATTCCGTGGGAAGGTCACAGGGGTTCCGAGAGTTAAAACAACATTATCGGTTACAAAACCCTGGCATAAAATTTGTATACAACTAATTTTCCATTAGTTATTTAATATTGATCTGATAACTATTCTCAACGTTTATTTTTTATTTTTATTTAAACGAAAACCGCAATTTCAGTTCAGTCATGTTCAGTTTATGCATACAATAGAATCAAATTATGAACTCGCCTTGATGCTACTTCATGCCTGTACATTTAACTGCCTAACATAAAACCCATTTTCAAGACTAGTATTGTTAAAAATTCACAATGAAAAAATTTCATTCGTTATTCATTCTTTAAATATTTTCAAAATAATAAGTAGATTTTTTATTTATTGAATTTATTCCCAATTTATTTATTCTCAAAATTAAATTATGATTTCTGAATATACGAGAAATGTTGATATTAATAATGCAAAACATTTATCAAAATATGGTAAACATTACAACGTTCATTTCTAAAATGAAAAAGAATAATAGGAAATAGGCATGAAATAGAGAAATTTTGAGAGTAGAATAAAATCTTCATAATTTCATATTTAATTTTTAAAAATTATAAAATGCACATAGAAAGCCTTTTCGTCCACTGTCAGACAATTTTTTAATCGCCATTTTGTTGTATTTAGTCGCCCTATGGCCGATAGCAACCGTTAATTTTGCCCTATATCTTTCAAACTCTCAATATTAAAATATGATTTCTGAAAAAAAAGTTTTTATTTTTATTTTTCAAGATAAAATATATAAAAAATATATATAAAGTACACAAAGATATTATATATAAAAACACAATAAAACATATGTCTATACAAAGACATGCTAAACATTGTATAAAGAACGTTCAAATATTTAGCAATAGTTTATATACTAAACATCATTGATTTTAAATAAACACATACTGTTTAAATATAGTTCTAAATACTAATTATTACAAATTTTAATTTTAATGACTTTGACATTTACTTGCTAAGTCTAATTTTCTGTTTAGTTGCGATAACAGGGATGACATTTTCTTACAAATATAAGGAGCATACGTTTGCTTTTTAAAAGGGTGCACAATATTTTAATGCAAAAATCGTTTTAAAAAATTTAATTGCCCAAATATTTTACCTGTAATGTTGGAAGTAACTACTGCTGCATTGAGTTTACTCTCAACTGCTGTACTGTATTCTCCAGTGATTTTGCCGTTCGTTCTGTGAATGATAGTCATGTTAGATCCCAGTTGGTTGCGCCATAATCCAGATAAATCTTGACAATTAGAACCTATTCCCAATTTTTAAAAAAAAAATTATATTAGAAGGTTCTTTTACGAGTCTTGATAGTAACAATAAAAAACGTGAAAATTCAGTATTTACTAGATTATACGCAGTGATTGGAACTGGATCTCCTTCGGTTAATTGAAATATTCGGATTATAAGGATAACATTGTTTTTTTAATGTATTTCCATCAAAAATTCCGAAGTAAAAAATCCGAAATCTAAATAATAATAATGTAAAGGTGATGTACAAAGCGCAAAAAAGAACGAATCACCCCGAATAACTTTTAATATAATGATCGAATCTTCACGTTCTAGGACTCAATCTTTATGACTCGAAGAGGTGACCTTAAATATGCTAAATTATTAAGTGCAGACGATATTTTATGTTACGAAATCAGACACAAAAACGTACTTTCTCTGAATTAAAAAAACTTTTTTCCCAATGGATTTGGATTTCTGACCTCCAAAAAATAGGGGATATCCGCAATCTGGGAAATATGGTCCCAATAGTTTGGTCAGGAGAGCGCTCCTAAGTTTGGACACCTTAATGCTCATTTTATTTCTTGTGTACATTTTTCTACTATATTTTTGTGATATTATTTCCCTTTCACAGGACATTCGAACAAATAAGGCCTAGTGAACTTTAAAATTCCCATAATGTAAAAACTGTTAACACAGTTATTTTGCTGCATGCATTCTTCTCAGATAATTTGTTTTTCTCCAATGTTTTTCAATTTTAACATTTATATTTGAGTTCTGCAAGAAACTGTAGTTATTTTTTTCTTTTAGAGAAATTTTCAATCAGCGCAACTATAAACGATCTATCGCTTTTTTTCTAGAAATGTAATTTTTATAACTTAGCGAATGCATTAATTTGGTGCATAAAGTGTTAAAAATCACATTAATTATAACTTTAAAACTAAAATTATGCTACCGCTTGTTAATCAAGAACATTATTTCTCACACGATTCTGACTGATTAGCAAGTACAATCATTTTATGAAATGCTTTTTTACATGTCTATGTACACAATTTGTATGCCCGTGTGTTTCTCTGACTATTGGGATCATGCAAATGAATCTTTAGCACTTTAAAAAAAACATGTTGTTTAGAAAAAAAATTAATTTCATCCATGAAAAATTAAAAATGAGGGCAAGATTTTTCTCAGCTTCCTTGGTCCTCCGGATAGTGCCACCTTAGAATCTGTTCATATTTATTCTACAATTCTCATATGTTAAAAGCAAGCATTCTATTCAATCAAAGTTCATTTTTAGGTCAATCGAAAAAAAAAGTAAAAACATTATATAAATATCTAATTCGAATAAGCACTGTGGACAGACATGCAGTTACTTTTTAAAAGAAATCCAGTTGCAAATAGATAATTTTTGTCTTATCTGTCGTATTCAAGAACATAATATGACCTCAGACTTTTTGGCCCGCAAGATAACAGTAGAAATTTTCATCTTCGTAAGATGTATCATGAAAGAGTTACTTTAAACTAAAGCATCTACATCTTTTACATTTCCCTACCAAATTGAAATAATGAATTATTTTTATTGTTACCAATCTTCCTAACTTAATAAGCTTTATTATTCCGCTTTTGCTTTCACACGACAGACATGTCGTATTGAATTATAAACATTGTTATTACAGTATGAATTGTCATAAAGTCTTTTATTTTAATAACTTTTAATTAAAAAGAAATGCAGGGCAGAAATTTAGCTTCAACGATAAATTTTGTGTATGATGCTTATCGTTGCGCATAAAGAAATGAATTGTTCTATTTCTATCTTTAGCACCATATTATTAACTCATAAGACAGGCTAACTCCTGAGAGAGTTAAATCTTTTAGTCTGAATCTTTTTGAGCAAAGCTAACATATATTTGTATAGGTCATTCTCACAAAAACAATCATTTTCATGTCCCCAGTATATTTTATGTTTGTTTTACAACATATAAAAAAATTTTTTTAGGGAAAGTGTCTTTCAGAAAGAGGCTAGCAAAAGAATAAAAGTAAAATTATCAATTTTTATTTTTTATTTATTTTAGGTAATTAAAATATACCAATATGTCATTCCCTCACTTGTCCCCACTGTTAATTTAAAAAAAGAAAAAATTGTTTCTTAAATAAAAAAAAATAAAAAAATTACGAATTCGTGCTCTTTATTTCGGAATATTGAAATATAGAATTCAGAAAATCAATTTTAAATTTAATTTCTGATAAAAAATATTGCCACAGCACTATTTTAAACTTTGTCCCTAGTGTTTCGCATCATTCCCTCACAACAATGTTCTTATCACATACAATCTTCTTAGAATAAAAATATTTTAATAAAAACTTTAGCAGTTAACAACTGGCATCATAAAACAAAATTGCAGTATGTTTCCATCTTCAACTTAAAGAAACTTTGCTGTGGAATAAATTTGAATGAATCAAATCAGGTAAAATTTTTTACATTTGTCATTCCCTCATGTCGTTTTTTAAAGTAAAATAAAATATAACTTCATCGACAAAGAGGATAATTATATGTTGCTTTCTTGTATGAATATAATTGTATGTGATTGATTTCAGAAATCAATTAGGTCTAACTGTTATTTTTAAATTTTATTAAATTTGTCATTCCCTCACTATCATTCCCTCACTAATGTATAAAATGAGGGAATGATTCAAGATGAGTATATTATTAAATTTTTTTTTTTGGTTCCTGATTTTTCTTTTTTTAATAAAAATAGGTTATATAATAAAATTAATTGGTTTTTAGTGAAGCACTATGTTTGCAAGTGGGAACTAATTTTAAAACTTTAGCAAAGACTCACAGAAAAAAGAAGTTATTTCATAGACTTTTAAGTGGAAAAATTTTGAAAAAGTACAGAGCATTGTGCTTTGCAAAGCGATTTCTAAAATATAGAAAACATAAAGAATCGGCAAAATCAAAATTAAATAAAAATAACATAACTTATGAAACTTCGGAAAGCTTTGTTGCTTTTTTTTCAATCTGATGATGTATCCAGATTACTCTCAGGTAAAAAGGAATGCATCACAAGAAAAAAGATAAAGAAGCAAAAGAGAGTGCCTCTTGATACACTAAGAAATCTACATATAAAATATTTAAGTGAAAACCCAAATCGTCGAATCAGTTATCCTACTTTTTGTCGAATGCGTCCATTTTGGGTAAAACAACCAACAATTAACGATAGAGATATATGTAAGTGTATAGTACATGCTAATATGGAAATGATTATCGCAAAACTTTATGAGATTAATATTACTGAATATAAATCATCAACATGTTTAATAAAAGCAATAACTTGTGATTCCAGCTGTGAAAATTGTTTGTTCAGAAAATGTCCTAATTGTAAAGATAAAATTCCGATTTATAAAGAGTTTAATGATAAGGAAGTAATCAAGTACAAAAAGTGGGTATTAGAAAAAAATAAATATGTTGTTAAAAACCAAGAAAAGATTTCTAATAAACCAATTAAGATAGAATATAAAGTTAGTATATCCAATTTAATTAAAGAGCTAGAGGGCAACTTACCAAAATATATGGTCCATATTGCAAATAGAGTTCATCAGTATAAAACTATGAATGAACTGAAAAAACAATTATCAACAGATTCAATAATAGTACGCATTGATTTCAGCGAAAATTATAGTTGCAAATATAGTGAAGAGATTCAGCCAGTGCATTTTGGAAGTGGTAGGCAACAGGTAACTATACACACAGGAGTTTATTACGAAAAAGAAGGTGATAATGTAGTTTCCAACTCTTTTGCTACAATAAGTCTCTCACTTCGACATGATGCAACAGCAATATGGCCACATCTCAAACCAATTTTTAAGTGGATTTTGAGTACAAATGAAGTAAAACATGTTCATATGCTAAGTGATGGACCATCAGCCCAATATAGAAACAGAAAATGTTTCATCTGATCCTAATCTGATCTGTATCTCAACATATAAAACAGCTTACTCCTGGTATTCTAAACTTTACTTGGAACTAGTATAATGAATCCGGACAAGGAAAAGGAGCTCCCACCGGAATTGGAGCTGTTATGAAAAGAACAGCAGATCGGAAAGTGACAGAAGGAAAAGATGTGCATAATTACAAAACACTTATTTCTGTATTAAAAGAAAATTGCTTAGTAACTTTATTTGAAGTTACAAATGAAGACATAAAAAATGTGATAAATTAATTGAGGCAGGAATAAAACCATTCACTATGAAAGTTCATCAAGTTGCATACAGTTCAAGGAATAACATATTAAATTTTCGCTCTCTTTCGTGTTTTGCATGTGATGCATCAATTTTGTGTGAACATTACAATTTGGGAACTGCATATGAGTATGAGTCTAAAATCTCTGTTCCATTATGCGCTAGCAAAAACCAAAATATAGAGGAATACAAAATAGGAGATTGGGTACTAGTTGAGTATAAAAAAATTTTATACCCCGGAGAAGTAAAGATCTTACATTCAAAAAATTTAGCAATTGATATAATGGTTCCCACAAATGTAGGAAAATACAAATGGTCCTTTCCAAAAGACATACATAGCTACACAAAAACAGACATCAAAAGAAGAATTCTACCACCCATTCCATGCGACAATCGTGAAAGCCAATTTTAATTCCCAAACCTGTAAAAACTATTAAATATATAAAACTAAACTATAATAAATATTAGTACTTAGTATGTTATCATTTTCAAACTTGAGGTAGCTGTAACTTAGAGAAAAACATGTATTAAAATAAAATATCATTCCCTCATTATTAGTATCATTCCCTCACATTTTAAATAGTGAAATTAATTAATTTATTTAAATAGTAAGTTTACTTTAAAGAAAGGATATATATAGTTTCTTTATAATGCCATTACATATTTCTATTAATATAAAAAGTTTCAGAGCTTTTTATTCACTTTACTTTTTTGGGATTTTATGATCAGAAAAATGACAGTTTTCGTGAGAATGACCCTTATAGACTTGAGCAAAAGGCTTACTTCGCTAATTCAATTCAAAGCTACTTAAATATAATGCATGATCTGTCAAGAACCGCTAGTAAGTCGTGGTCAATCCATGCCACGAAGTAATTAATATTCTAATCTATATAATGTATGAGTTGGGATCATAAACAGGGTCGTCTCTTAGCTATAAAGTGTTTTGATGTATCATATTTCACTTAAAATCAAATTTTTAAAATGCTAAGATAGAAAACGATTTCAAAAATTAGTCGAGAAATAAATCATTTCCTTAAAACAAAAATTATTATTTTTCTCTCATTAAAATGTTATTTCAATAAAATAAAATGCATCATGGCACGTTTTCAGCAACAAATTCATTTACATATTCATATTAGTTTGAATTAAATTTATCAAAATTTAAGAAATCCTATTTCACTCTACTTTTTTTCAAACAAAATGTAAATGCAGAGTTTTTTGTTCTTAAACATGGACGAAAACGAAATCTAATTCAAAAACTTCATCAGAATTTAATCAAAAACCTCATCAAAAAAGGAGATGTTGGCACGGCCTTGTGTTTTTCTAAACCCAGCCTTAGTGTCAATGACCATTTTTTCAAAACATTAAAAATTTTGAGAATATTAATAAGCAATCAACGGTTTAATCTGGCAGTTCAGCAACAAAATGTCTGTTGGTTTCAAGTATCAAGGATACTTGGGCGTTTGTTTTAGCTGACCGCTGTAACATTACCTTGTCATATCAATTGACCTTGATGTGGAATATTCCCACATTCTCTTCCATGAATAATCAAGGTAGATATTTCACTTATTTTTTCAATGGTAGATTCGTGGTCACGATTTAATTTCAACCTGTGTCCCCAACAATTTTTTCTGTGTTTTTTTTTACAATATTTGATTAAAAGAATAATTAATTTTAGTCTGTAAATTAACACCAACCAAATTGTAATGGAAATTTTCAACTGCTTTCACATTTAAAAATTTATTTCATTTTTTTTTATTAATCGCAGGTTTATAAAAAGTTGCTTAAAAATATTTTGAAATGAAAATTCAAGAACATTACAGTTAATTTATTTTAAAATAAACTTTTATGTTATATGATCTCTTTTCCTCATTGTTATATTTTTTCTTCTGTATAGTTGATATTATTATATATTATTATTTTTATTATTATTTTTTTTAAATATAACAGTTCGGAATTCTTCAGTTCTGAATGATTTTTAACACTTCAAAGAATTTAATTTTATTAAAATGTATTAGAAGGTAGAAGAAGGTATTAGGTGGTAGAAGAAAAAAAATAATTAAGATTAAAAAAAGAATTATAATTATTTAAAAGGATTTAATTTTATGCAAATATTTTTCTACGTTGACTGATAAAAAGATTAATGTCTGAAACACTATTATTTTTGTTAAAATTACCATAATTCCCGTCAACATGCCTAGGTACTCGGGCATGTGGCCCTTCATTCAAAAAGGCGTTGTACATATAAATTACAATAAAATATTTTTTTCTTTCATAAGATATTTTTTTAATTCCCTTTACAGATAACAACAATCCTTAACTAAACTTTTAATATAATTATTGTAAGATAGTGAGTTACTTCCAAGTATTATTAAGATGAATTTCATTTTAATGTGGCAAGTTGGTAAGTGTATGCAAAGTTCCAATTTATTACTTTCCTAAATTGCTCCTTTCCCTAGCAATTATTAATTTCCTATTAATTATAATTTAAATAATTAAAATTAAAGAAATTTGAATTAAAATACATAAATTAAAATAAATCAAGGTAAAATGAATATTTATAAATACCCGACTGTATCTTTATGGTGTTTTTGTTTGATATTATAGTTTTAAAAACATTAAGTTAAGTCTAAGATAAGACGAATCAAATTTTTTGTTAGCTTCTTGCAGGATCTGTCCCAAATAGAAATTTTGATGTTTTTTTCGACAAAATCAAATAAGGAAAACACAAAACTAAAATAAATTAAAAACAAATAAATAGAGAATTAAAAAAAATAAAAAATAAATTAAAAAAAACCCTGTTTTTCAAGAGGATTAAAAAAAGTTTAATCATTTTATTATTGCCACACACAAAACGAAGAACATGGGGTGCATCGTTTTTGCAATATGCTTCTAGCACCACTTACATTTCTTCCTGTCCTATGCATATGTGATACGATCCCATCTTTTCGTTTCAAGTGTCACAAAAAAATTGTTTTTTCAATTTTTAGCCCACTTAAAAAACGCAGTTTTTAAAAACTATTTTTATTTTTGCATATGGGACAATCAAACAATAATTTCCTCCTTAAAAAAATACCCGAGAAGAATTATATATAATGTTATTAATTATGAGTAAAACATAGGTAGTCATAACAAATAAATATAATTTTTTTGTAAGAGTAATGTCAAAACAGTAAGATTTTGTTTGTTTTAATTTCAATTTCCATATGTGTTCACCATTAAAAAAAAGAACTTTCACCAATTCAAGAAATTACCTTGCTTTCTAAAAATTTCAATTAAAAAAATGCAGATCATTGCCATGTACAAATCAGTAGGCATCTCATTGCCGGAGACTAGTTTTCAAAATAATAGGAATAACACATTTTGATTGGTTCTCATAGTGTAGTTAAAAATAAATTTATGAGATACGATAAAAAGGCTTACAATTTTATAAATATACCCTTAATTTGTTTCAATATTACGGAAAAAAGAAAGAAGTAAAAATTTGCGATATATAGGATCTTTAAGTATAGAAGAAGAGAAAATTCCTGTAGTCGAACTAGGAAAATAAATTTAATTAAAATACAAAAGGATTCGATTGAAATAGTTTGTTGCTATAAAATTATTACTTTGTTTTAACTTGAACAACTAACGCAGTCAGGCTAAAAAAAACCTCTTGTTTTTCATTAGAAACAGCATGAAATTGAAATCATTTTGCATCATCAACAAATGGGGGAATGAATAAACACGTTTTAAATTTTTGGAATTTGAAAATACAATTTCCGTGACACAAGTTTTGAGGTCAGACAATATTGTTGCAAATAATTGTAGACACAGTCGTATTTTTTTCTTATTGTTAATGTAATTCATTGAATAAAATGATAATTATTTATTTATTTCATACCATAAATGCGATAATAAGGTACAATAAGGAATGAATTAGTTAACTAGTTTCAACAACTTTTTTTTTAAATATTAATATAAAATTTTAAAACACTAGTTTATTTGTTTATTCTATGTAAAAACTAATAAAACTATCAAGAACAATTATCATTATTATTTTTTTTTTATATACGGCCATTTTTAGGTAAAAATAAGGCCTTTTTTTTCATGTACGCTAAACGCTGCAAAAAAAATTTCTATCATCTGAAACAAAAATCCCATAAGGATTTTACCTATATGGTTTTCAACTATATTTTAAATTATTATCAGAAAATCAAGTGCATATACTACTGAGTTAGGGATCAATGTAATTTAAAAAGTAAATGTTTAAAAATTCTGTACTTGTCTTTGCGAAAAAGCATGCATAAAAAATGAAAATCTACTTTTTTCTCTTAGTCTGTAGTTCAAAACATTTGTACTGTAATAATAAACACTCATAAAAAATTGTAGACAATTATTTAAAAAGAAGAAAAGCATGAGATGTCATGTTTAAGGTGGTGTTAAATGTGGAAAAAAAAACTATTTTTGAAACAAACGTATTTAAAGACTTAAAATCACTGTAATCACTTTGCACAAAACTCTTATAACTTTGTAAATAATCAGAGTAAGAACAAAAGTAAAGTATTTTTAGAAAGCTGAGAGCACGAGAATTCTAAATTAATAATAAACTCAATTTCGAAAATTTTGCCCCAAATCATGTTTTTCCATTAGTCAGGAGTAATAATAATAATTATATAAATATTTATAAATCAATATTTTTTTACATAATTTTATAAATTTTATGTTAGAATATAAAAATTTTAGTATCTTAAAAATTAAATATCAAAATAATGATGTTTTTTAATGCATTTTAAAGAGATTATATTAATCCTAATTATGTTTACAAGAAAAGCATCAAAAGTATTTTTGCTTTCATTCTATTAGTAAAATTTGGCAGAGTTAAATTAACAATTTAATGAATAAACTATGAAACTAAGAACTCTATTTGTTCAAAAACAATAATAATAACATTTTAGTTGCAAACGAATTTTATTGTTCATCAATTTCGAGAGAATAATTCCCTATATACTATATCTTAGTGAAAAATAGCAAGCATTTTTTAAAATAAATGCTATTGTTCTTAAATGCTCATTTATTATTATAAAAATAACGCTTCCGATTATTTTAAACATTTTTTGTCATTTTTTTGAGTCAGTAACCACTAAATAATAAAAAAAGAATATGTCTCTTGATTATTACTTACACAAGGCAACTCCTAAACTACCAAGAAAAACCAATAAACTAATATAACTCATTTTTCACGTATGAATGGAACGATAAATTACTAGTAAATGGTCGAACTGGGTGATGGCCACTAATAAATCTAACTTCCCGAGTAGATAAATTTCGATTATTATCTGTCTCCGAGTTCAGAGTTCAACTTAGCCACCATCCTTTGCAGACGACCTCGATTAATACGTATGTAGCTATCAAGTTAAAAGAACATATTGTAAATGTAGATTACATTCGAATTTATTCAAACGTTATTATTGTATCACGTTTAACCATTTCCTTTAAAAATGTACTTTAATAAGTTAAGTGTTGCGCTTCTACGGTTATAGGTACTTTATGTTAACATTTTAGAAAACTATAACTAAAAGAGAAAATATAGGAAATATTCTCCATTTTTCGGAAAGAAATGTGTAAAAATTAATTTTCATGTTTTGAACGATTGCACAACAGATGTCTTGATCGATCTTATTTTATTCTAAAACAAAGTTTAAATCGAAAAAAATTAGAAAACGATTATGAAATTCGGACTTAGAATAGGTTGTTCAAAATCAGAACTGGGACGTGGTGAAATATTGATCCATCGTATAATATAGATATTATTTAATAGTGTTAAAACGATTTCTTAGAATATATTCTTATAAATGCAGGAATGTTCGTTAATGAAACATCATAGAATATCGAGATATAAATAAATAAATATCGAGAATAAGAAAATTATTAATAATGATAAAGTCGAGATACAGAATATGATAATTAAAGACCATAGGAGAAGAACGGTGTTTATGACCATTTTTCACGAAAATAACGATTGAATGTGAATCACCATCTGTTGGATTTTAAGGATTATAAAGTTTTGAAAAATCAATAACTTGAAAAGCCAGATCAGATCATCCCGAGAGTTATTACGCAGTGCAGATGGATCGGTTTTTCTCCGAATCAGACACACACTCACACAGCTTTTATGGGCTTAAACCATTCTTCCCGCAAGGTTTTCTATAATTGAATAAAATTTTATTGTTATCATCATCCTCAACGAAATTTATAGTACACGAATATACCGCGTTACTGCTAGCTATCTTTTCATATTTATCGACAACGAATAATATAATATAGACGACGAAGCTGTCCCAAGTACGGAGTCTAAATCACTTGGCAAATCTATTATTATATTTTCATAAATATAAATTAGTTTTTTAAAAGTATGTATAAATTTGTAAAAAAGTGTTAGTTCTTCCATTGAGTTGCAAAAATACAGTCCAATGATAAAAATAATGCAAATAAGTTTAATTGAGAAAAAAAAATTGAATTACATCTTATTTTCTGTATAAATATCGCGACATTAGTTTCACTTAACACTTTTCAAAAAAAAAAAAAAAAAAAAAATTCACATTATTTAAACAAAAAAATCGAAATATTCATAATTAAATTGCAACTTTTTCAGTTAAAGATGGATACCTAAAAAAATTGGATAAATTATGGCTTCCTGACATTATGAAATCATGCGGGTAAAAAGGAATAGGGTTGGGTGTAGAGTTGAGTATGACATAGCCAGAAGCACTGAGCACACTTGAACAGTGCTACTAACTATGTCTGGTGCCAAAATAAAAAAAATAGTGTATGGAAAAGCAAATTAAAATAAAGATGAGGGTGACTTACGATAATAGAATCCCTAATTAAAACAGGAAGATAAAATCCCTAAGGGTCATGTTCAAAACCGTATTTTAAATGCTGTTTTGTTAAATGTCTTGAAACGTTTATTGCTTTTCAAATTATAAAGATTTGAAAGTAAAAAAAAAATAAAATCAAATTTCAGAAAATTTAAGAACAACCCTGTTACAATTTCAAAAAATCAAAATATTGCAGTTTTTGATAGTTTATCCTTTTACGATTATTTTAAAAAATAATGGATTGATTTTCGCAAAAATATGAAAGTTACGGCATAATATGATCACGGTGCAGGACGCACTACGAAATGTACAAGCGAACTTTGAGGTATCATATTAAGTGTTTTCTTGAAATATTATAAAAAAATTATGTAAGAAAAAGAATTATTGCCAGTTCAATATGAATAGTTGAAATTGCAACTTATTTAGCTGTTGTCATTTTTGATGAAGGTTGCATATGGCTATTGACACTTTTGGAACAATTAGAAATAAATGTAGGCCCAGCAGTCAAGGAATATGAATATGATGAAATTAAAATGACAGCAGAATTTTAGTAGCTACTTAAAAACATATGAGGCGTCACACAATAATAGATCTATCTACAAGAAAAATGGCTAGATTAGAGCTTGAAACCGCTGAAAATGGTGGAGAAGAAGCATCTTATGGATATGCTATTAATGTATTAAAGTTGCTAAACTTTTATGCATCTACATACAAAATTAATCCCAGAACTTTAAATGCGACTTACTCGAAACTATATTTCTCTTACTTGCTGAATCTCTGCCAATTTTCAACAGATTTACATGAATGATTACATTTACATGAATGACACCATGTTCACAATGAATATCCTTTTGTTGCTCATAGAGATTTTTAAATCAGATAAACTGATTCGAGTAATAAATGAAAATGTAGCTTATTATAGGTCATATTTTGAATTTTATTTTCAAAACACTTGCCATTATGTGAAAATTAAAAAAAAATAAATAAATCCTCACGCAACGAAAACTGCATTCATGCAGATTAAAAATATGAGTTGCGGTCACCAAGATGGCGGCGTGTCGCCACTTAATCTAATAGATTAATTAATCTATCCAGAGCTTTACTCTAAATAACTTTTGATCTAATGATCGGATCTCCACGTTCTAGGACTCATCCTTAATGGTTCGAAGGAGATGACCTCAAATAAGCTAATTAATTAGTGCAAACGATATTTTATACGAAATGAGACACAAAAAAGTACTTTCTCTGAATAAACATACCTTTTTTTTGAACGGATATGTTTTTTTGACTGCCCAAAATACAATGGGTTGACGATATCTGGAAAATATGGTCCCAATAGTTTAGTCAGGAGAGCTGTTTCAAAGTTTGTATCCCTTAATATTAATTTCACTTTTTGTGTATTCCATCCTAACTCGAGAAATTTTTAAGCGAATTGTAAAATTTTTACACACAATTATAAAATTCGTTTAGCGAGGTAATTCCATACAAGAAATAAATTTCAGTAAATATTTATTATTTTATATAATAATAATTGCTAAAACTTTTAATTGTAAGGTTTACATTTTTTACATCATTTTAAAGTATGTAATTTTAAATGGCAAAATACAAATGTGAGCGAAATTGGTCGAATAGTTCCTAAGAAATCGCATTTTAAATATACGACTTCTTTAATACCACTAATCAGGGTTGGCAAGTTTTTGACACATGACGGTTTTTACCGGTTTATACGCTGGTTTTTACCGTCATGTCAAAAAACCCTCTGTCAAAAACCCATAGTTTTGATAAAACTGTGTTTTAATTTGAGTTTAACTGCTTATGATTTAAAATTAATTAATTTTTGGGCAATAAAATTAGAAAAAAAGTTGTTAAAAGATATTTAAGAACAGATTTTTGCATTTTCCCAACATGATTATATAAAATCATACTATTTGAAGTAAAATATTAGGATACTAAACAAAATTTTCAACATTTCCAAGCATCATTTTGTTTGGCATATTACATTACTGAAGAATGTCAAGTCATTCCTGACTTAGAGTTTGTTAGTAGTTACAAGTTTTGAAAGTTTTGTTTAGCTTATTTCTAATATTTAAGAAATGCCAAATTTTAAATTCTTTTTTTAGTTCTTGAATTTATTAATAGTTCCAAGTATTTTTGTTTGTTTGTTTATTTCTAACATTTAAGAAGTGCAAAATTTTGAATCCTTTGCAAATCAAGCTATAATGATTAAAGTTAAGTATCACTATTTTCAATAAGTATGTTGTTACAATATTTCTGTATGAATGAATATCCTTCTATAAGAATACGTGTATATAGTTGCAAAATCAATAGCAATCATTTACAAAGGCAATTAAGTGAAAATAATATATTGTCCGCTATATGAAATTAATTAAAGAAAACAGTAGTTTTTTGACGGTTTTTACCGGTAAAAACACGGTTTTTACCACTGTCATGTCAAAAACCAGTTTTTGACGGCAAAAACCCAACCCTGCCACTAATATTTTGGGAGTCATAAATCCAAATCCGAAAAAAAAGGTATGTTTATTCAGATAAAGTACGTTTTTGTGTCTGATTTCGTTGTTTAAAACATCGCTTGCACTAATTAACATATTTTAGGTCGATCATTAGATTAAAAGTTATTCACGGTGGTTCGTTTTTTATTTTTATTTTTTTTGGCTCACAGTACAATAATATAAAAAAAAATTATTAATTAGCTAAGTTTCTCACTATTATTGCAAAATTCATTGTGAAATCTTTCTTTCTTTACCGATTTCTACTAGGTTGTTCTTCCTTAATGCCAATAGTTTGCTCAAAACGGAGATAGTTTAAAACTTATAATATTGTAATAAAGTGTTTGGCAGTAATTTCAAAATTATTTGATTAAATAAAAGAAAATGTTCACAGTTATAATAATAACAAAACTTATTAAATAAAAGAATATTTTCACGCAAAATACATTTAATTTATTATTTATCCCTTAATTCCCCTTATTAAAATGTGATATATTAAAATTAATATTTTTATGTGATTCTTGAAAAAAAAATTATCAAGAAATTGCTATATATTTTATCATTTAGTTTGATGAATTTTGTTTAAATAATCTCATTGGTCTAACAGTGAAGAATAATTATGTTTTGTTAAAATAGTAATTAGAATAAATAAAAATCAAACTTATCGTACAAATTTTTTTTTTTTTTATCAGATCCTTTAAGCCAGTTGTTTTCCTCCTAACATTTAATCTCATATAAAATAAGAATAATTCCTGTATGGTCATCTGCCACAACTTTATGAATAACTACTAAAACTACATAGATTTATTTAAAAATTGTTAATATTTAATTTATATTATTACATAGGTCTTTTTTACCTTTTCATCTGATACTGTATGTAAAATTATATAAAACCTCTGTAAAAAGAGTTTATTTTTAAAATTTATAGTATATTTGTTATTTCCCTTTGAGTAGCTCCTTCATACAAATTATTTCCTTTCTGATTCTGTATAAATAATTGCAAGAACTTCTTAGTCCGAAATAGTAGAAAAAAAGAGGATTTCGTATTTCAGGATTTGTTATTGATATGAATTATTTTTTAGTGTTTCCACATTGATTTTGATCTTTTTTAGAAAATAAAAAAACATTACTTGTCATTTTTAATCATGAGGTTTGAAAAAATGTAAAAACGTATAATTAAATGCTCAAATTATTTTATACCACACCTAGAAAATCTATATTCCTTAGCATTTATAAAACTATAAATAAATGGCATAAAAAACTTCTTTGTAATTTTAGCTGAATTACTCATTACAATGATGTTTTCTATCTCAATTGATACTGATTATGCTTTTTTGCAATAATAAAAAAATAGTTTTAAACTAAATATTAAAGAATTTATTTGTTGTATATAACTTGATAATTTAATTTTATATAACTTGTAGAATACAATATTATTGCATGGATATTTAAAAGAGAACACTATTTTTTTACACACTAAGAAAATGGATAAAAATAAAACACAAAAATTTATTTATGTACAAGTTTATTATAAGAAAATACATTTAGTAAAAATATCCATAATTTGATTATGCAAAATATGATAACTTTTTCAAACATGCATTTGAACAATATTTCACTGCTCCAACATAAAAGTCTGTTGGTTAAACAACTCCATTGTGAGATTAGCTAAAAATGCAGGAAAGCTGTCAAATTTATGAAGATATAATTGCATTTGTTCTGTCAGCTGCTTTGAATACTCAGTTTCAATCAACAAGATACCTTGAGCATTAACCTAAAAAAATATTCAATTTTAAGGCTTGAAACAACATTTTGAAACCAGTTCGTCAAATCTTATTACCCATAATACTAAAACACAGTGCCAGTCATAAAAAATAAATTTTCAATATTTAATTTCATAGATCGTAAGAGAAATATTCTCATTTTGAATCTTCAAACTCAATCAACAGCATACTGTTTGTCTACGATAGGTACTCTGCCAGACATTCGTCTGGAGCTGTGGCAGTGACTATGGTAACGAGGCATGATTATTTCAAGTAGGATGTGAGGTCCCTCTTTAGGACTGGTTTCGGCGAAAGAAAAGGAGACCTCTTCAGCGAAGCCACCCTCTCTAAAATGCCCTCTTCTTGTGTTCATAGCACCAGACTGCCGCAGACTTAGTGGCGGTCAGAGTACCTATCTTAGACAAACAGTACATTGAGCACTAACCCAAAAAATTTATTGACTTAACCTCTTACCTGCCGAGTAAAATTTACGTGATTCACTCCCGAGTGCCACCGTTTTTCGCTCAAGTGCGCTTTGTAACGCGATGTTTTGGTGGGGGGAAAAGATGCACGCTTTGCAATTTAAAAAGTTTACTTTCACAAGAGAAGAAAAAGGAAAAATAGAAAATACAAAACTTAAAGAATAAAAATACAATATAAAAAATTTTAAAACTTGGCTGTTGTATGATAAATCCTGAAACATGGTTGGACACATAAAACAACATCACATTCATTGCACTGATTGCGGATTCACAACGAATATACAGGGGGAAACGAAAGTGAAAGAAGAATAAACCTGACCTTACTCAAATAGAAAAACACAAGCAATAAATACGATGATATCACTTTTCTAACACATCCCTTTCCCATTTCCCCTCCTCCGAAATTGGTAATACATTCATTGCAAACACTTTCAAGGTCATTTTACTGAATTTAGAAGTCGGGGATGTAGTTCTATTTATAGCAGCGCAATGCAAAGCATCATATTTCGGGAAAGCGTATAGATACGCCTGCGGAAGTTAACGCATCGTCTGACCGAGATGTACATATATGCCCGCGGCAGTTAAGGGATTAAGGTATGGAAAAGCATTTCGAAACAGGTTAGACAAGACTTTTTACCAGGTCATAAAACTAAAATACAGTGCTGGTTATTGAAAATAAATTTTCAGTGTTGAATTTTAATACATAGTTTTATAATATTAAAATAAAAATATTATTCTCTATTAACATTCAACACTACAATAAATATTACACAGATATTCTCAATCAAACAAAATATTATCATTTTCAATATTTAGCATCAATCAACAGGATGCCTTCAATATTAACATCATGAAATATATTTCAATAAGATATTTGTGTGAATTTAATGCTTATCCCCCCCCCTTCCTTCCTTTAATTAAATGTTCTTGTTTGCCCACTGTGCATGCCCAAGCTCGGTCGCGTCATTTATATGCTCTACTAGATTAAAGTTTTTTATATTTCTGATTTCATCACAGACAGTCAATAAGGAGATCAAAACTAAAAGTCTTAATTATAGTCTTAAATGAATTTTGACAATTTTGAAAGATTAAATATTTCTACACAAACACAAGGAAAATAATGTTGTTATAAAAATATCATGCATGTGTATGATTATTAATTATGACGATAATAATTAGTGCAAAAAATACAGAGTTAAATAACAGAAGAGATGAATTTGCCTCTACTGATTCAAATTTAAACAATACTACATATTCAAGGTAATGAAATCACTCAGAGCTATTAACTAAAGACTGATGAGGAAAAAAAAATGCCTTGGGATAGTGGGAGTTGTATTTAAGAAAAATACAAGGCAAACTCAAATGAGGGATTATTAATAAGAGAAAATAAAGGGTTGATAAAAAAAAATATTATATAATACCTTGAAAAGTAAATAATCATCTCTGGAGTTGGCATAGACATGAGACAACTTAAAAGTCTCTGATGTTGGGACATCAATACGATAACCAGTTAACTGATAAACAGCTTCCCTGAATTCAGTAGCTTTGATACGAGCATTATCTAGAATGTATCGACGCTGTCTTTCAGCTGCTTGTAGCTGTTCCCTTAGAGCTAAAAACGACACAAATTACCAATTTCAGAAGAAAAAAACAATCGTAGTATTCCATTATTTCCATGCAATCATTTTGTGTTACACAGTTGAACTCTCTTATAATGAAGCAAGATTTACCAAAGAAATCAGAAATGCTTGTTTGGTACAATGCTATGTCTATTGGAGTATAGTTAGCTTTTAACAAGTAAACCCCTATTATTGTAATTCATATGATTTCTACTTAATTTCACCTCTTCAGCTTAGCTAATCCCTTCTTAGAAAAATTCCTTTTTGATGTTGATGATTTTTTACAGACCACAAGTCCTATCCGAAGAACAATAACACAGCAAAAAGACAGGCCAAAGTAAGTAAACTAACTTCTTTTACACTGAACAAAAATAAAAGATAAAGTAAATACCATATTTATAACTTAGCAATTATCCATGAACTTTTATCCTTTTTTTACGATTTCATTCGATTGTAATTAGCAAATATTACAATCCCTTCACAGCCCTTATAAGCTAGTTCAAATATATGTTTTTTTTTATTTTCTTTATTTTGTACAATAACAATAGATTACTATTATCTATGACATACTTGATGAAATTCTCTAAAACTAAATAGTGGACTTAGATGATTTTAACTTTTACTACCCTTCTATTACCAGTTTTAACTTAAATATTTTAACTTTAGAAAACAATTTTTTTAAAAATTTATTTGTAACAAGACTAAGATCTTCACCCTCTAAGCTCTGTTTTATTTAATTTTTTTAAAAAAAAACCTTAAGCTAGTAGTTTTTCTGCAATTAATTTCCTTATGTTCATCAAAGGGAAAAAATGCATTACAGGAAAATTTTGATACAGTATTTCCCAAAATCTGAATATAATACAAAGTTAAAATGTTTCTCAGATAATGTTAACAATTTCAGATTGAACTAAAAAATTTCATATCCAAAAAACTCCCTCCTATTATCTAATTTGGAAATAAAAATGTAAAAATATTTCGAAAATAAAGAAGCTTGATATTATGTTAAAGTTAAATATATTAAAAAGGGTAAGATTGTGCATTTGGGAAGTTCATCTAAGACTGACAAACATTATGTATACTAATTGTCCTGAACTACATCAGTCTTGTGCACACTAATTTGTCTCTAATCATTCATGCATGGATCCCAATTCAAATAAAAATTGTCATAATGATTCAAATAAAACACGGGAATAAAAGTAAAATAAATATTTAATAGTTCATACAACTTTTTGTGAAGTACACTTTAATCATAATATTGATAGTAACTTAAATCAGAATATTTATACCAATTAATTAATTTTTTACACTACATTTCCTTGCAATTAAAATATAGCTGATTTATAAATATTTATAATTAAAAGTTTACCTTATTATTTTTCCATGGCAAAAATTTAAATTCTTCTTCATTCGCTGAGAAACATGCCTTATTTTATTTATTACTTTTGCCAATCAGTTACTTAAGTAATTACCAAAACTTAAAAGAACTTTACCCTATCTGTTGGAAGTTAAACATACATTAATTATTTTATTTTAATATTGCTAGGGCACATATTTTAAAAATAGATAGAAACAATATAATATGAAACTAATTATTAATCAAATTACTATTTAGCTCTATGGTTACTTAGATACAATAGAGAAAGATCATAAAACTTAAAATAATAAGAAGACTAAGTATCTGACTTAACCTAAGAGCAGAAACATTAACCGTATCACAACATACAGGATATATAAGTTACATAATTATTAATAATAAATAATGTAGCTTAGATATCCTGTAAAAATATTAACTATACATAACTACATAAAATATTAATTATATCATAACACACAGAGTATATAAATAACATAATTATATGCTAGTAAATTTCATTTAAAGTATGAAGATAAAACTCAATTATCTATCATTTCTCACTCAAAGTATTAGATTTAAATAGCAGTTTCTTTACTAAAATTATTAATAGAACAGGCTAAATTATAAAGAAATGGATCACAATAAAAGATTGAAATTTTGTATTATCAAGCATCCAACGCTTTTACAAATACAGTAAATGAAATAAGTTTTCATTAATGATTTAATTCACATAAATTGATAACAAAATTAAGCATAATTTGAAATAAATTTTTAGGGATAAAATATATACAGTTAAAAATTTGCAAACAAAGAAATCTGTTATTCTTAAGTAATTGCCATATTTCCTTTATGTAATGTATATACGAAGCAATAATATAAGCTTAGGGGAGAGTCGGGTAGCCCCGCCCACTGTCAATTTCATATGCATAGAATATTTTTTCAAGTCAATGGGCAATCGGACATTAATTGTTATATTAAAAAAAGATTATTTTCAAAGTTTCAAGTATTTATGCAGCTGGTAACATGGTAAACAATAGTTTTGAAAATATGTTGTAATACAGTAGTCATGAAATTAAGAAAAATTGGTTCAATGTTTCGATTAAACTTCATTTTAATACTAAAAAAATAATTTTTTCTATACATACAGCATTAAAGTATGCAGTCTTAAGTTTAATTTGCACAAAGAAAGAAGTTTGTATGTAAAAAATTGTTCGAGTAATTACAAATTTACAAAAAAATTGGATTTCGGGTAGCCCCGCTCACATGAATGTCGGGTATCACCGCCCAACTTTATTTCGTCGACAAATGTACGGTTGCAAAGATTATTATTTTATTGCTTCAAATTTGAATGTTATATGCATTTTTAACAACAAATATATGTTTTAATATTATATGAAACATAAATTTATATATTTAAGTATGAAAAATTAAATATTTTTAAAATGTAATTGATATATCCAAATTAAATTTAATATCAAGAAATCATAAATATTATGATAAGCTATTTGCTTACTTATTTATTTTCACTTATTTGTGAACGAATCAATCTAGAGAAGCATTTGAATGCAATCAAAATACAAAGTGAATTGCAATTTTATAAGAAGTATTTTATATTAAGTTTATAAGAAGAGATCAACCAAATAAGTTTATATTGAAAAACAACTATTGTTATTAATTATTGTTACTTAAATTAAATTATTTTCGTTAAATATTTAATATAAATATATATTAATATTATAATATATTAATATACATTAATAATGATAAAAAGTATGACATTTGTTGTTATTAAATGATAGAATTCACTAAAAGTATATAAATATGTAATAAATAAAATAATTTTGTGATAAAAATGATAAATGAGGTTTATCTATTGTCAATACATTGGTAATTCTCATTTACACCTGAAAAAATAGCCAAATAAACACAATTTTTGTAACAGGGCGGGGCTACCCGACACATTTTGAAAAGAGCTGAAAAATATGTTTTTTTAAATTTCTATTTTTTTAAGTTTAACTATTCTTTTTTTGCTTTATTCTTTTTGCATTATTTAATTAGATGAAAAAACAATAGAAACATACAAAAATGTTGATTATTACTCAGTATTATACAGAAATATAAGCAATACTCCTTAAGTGAGCGGGGCTACTCGACTCTCCCCTATATATTTTTTCAAGGAAATCACAAGCAGTTCATATTTTCATCACATATTGTGGCACATCATACTCTCATTTCATAACATAAGTTGCATATCATATTATTATCAAAAGGTTTGGGATAATAATTTAAATAAAAAATTTAAAATGCATAAAAAATGATGAGCATAAAATGTAGAATGAGTCGTATAAATAAAGAAAATAACAGAAATATAAAAAATTTGGAGTAAAATGAGTTTTTTCAACATATAATTTAAATACATTTTTTTTGTATTGATAAAAACTTTTTTTAGTGAAACTATGAAAAAAAATTCACATATGATAAAAATTTTAAATTCCATTAAATGTGAATAATTCTGTTACAGATTAAGAAAAAAAATGGTAGCTGTTAGCATTTATTGGATAAAAATCTTGTAAGACTGCAAAAATAACTTCTTTAAAAAACTATGGTAACATCTGCAATATTCATACAAAATCCTTTCAAAGTAAAACTTACTTTGTAGAGTAGAATCTGCTCCCTCTGTTTCTAATTTTTGCTTAACCTTCATTGTAACATCTCCTGCTGCAGAGCCTTCTTCTTCCAGGACTTGAACTCTTTTTCTCAGTACATCATTTTCTTCTTTCAATTTTTGAAATATCTGAAAATGTCTTTGGTTTGCATCATCTAGTGGATTGAAGCGCATATGTAGAATCCTAGAGGCACTACTAGTATCAGTTTTCACCTAAAAATATTTTTTTTTATCTTGACTGTTAAATTACATTTAGTGCTCCACATGTTTAAAGATTGAGAATGCTTTGAAAAATACTATTTCAATTTAAGTTTAAGTTTAAAAAAAAATTTTAAACAAAAACACACATGAACAGAGGAAGGTTTCTGATAAACAAAACACCTAATAATATCATAATTACTGGGAGGCAAGAAAAATTGTAATTTATACAAATGCAATGTAACAAAGATCATTTTAAAAACATAATAAATGAATAAATGATGCACATGTATATTATAGCAAAAATTTGGTGATAAAAACAAAGTTACATATTCTTTTTTACCTTCACCTTACTTCTTTTTTACTTACAATTTTTAGAAGAGCAACAATCACTTTTTTTTTGGATAAAAAAATGAAGTTTTTTTCATAGTTCATCTTCATAGTTATCCTTAAAACACAGCAAACTATTGTTCAGATGTCATAAGACAAGGAGGAGCTTCTAAAATTGCAATGATTTTGTTGAAAATACTAATCCTAATATTAGCATTAAAAAGAAATTTTGAATTCTGTGGAAAAAAAATTTTTTTTCCTATTTGATATTCTCTTTTCTGGAAACATAGTATTTATTTTTATTTTATTGCATCCCACCTTTATTATTTCTAAATGCATGAAAAATGTGCATTATACCCAAATGTGCAATATGAAGACCACTGTGTATAAAGTTAAGATAGAAAATACAGCAGATAGATGGATTACAGCAAAAAATAAAATGAATATTCTTACTATTTTAAATTTATCATTAAGTTACCTACCTATAGAAATCTATGATTTAGTCAGCTACATAATCTTTTAAATGAAATACAACAAAAGAAAATTTAGAAATTATCCACACCTTTGTAAAATGTTTTTAAAATGTATTTAAATTTTTGATAAAAATGGTATCGCAATTTATCAACTTATAAATGACACAATTCATGTGATAAGTTAGTTATATCATTTTTAAAAAAAATCCTGAATACAAAATTTAGTAAATAAATTAAAAACACTTTGAAATGCAATCAAAACAGTGCAATTAACATGACAATAATTTTAATAAGCAATAACAAATGAGGATAAAAATAGAATTAGTGTTTATTTTATCTTCATTGTTTTGTTTTAATACACACTATTTTACAGTAATAATCACACAAATAATCTTCAAAACAGTTAAGTGAATATTTACCATTTCTTGCTGCTTTATGGTTCTAATTTGGGCATCTTTTTGTAGCTCTACAATTTGAGATTTTAGAGAAACATTTTCTTCTCTAAAAAAGGAAATTTTAAGAAAGCAAAAGTCAGAAACAAAATTAAAAATAATTAAATAAATAAAACAAAATAAATTCTTATCCTGTATAGTGGAAAATAGTGGCAATTTATTTTTAGATATTCTTTTAACCCAAATTGTTCTTAATCAATTCATTTCATTAAATATTTATTTCAGATTGCAATAAAAACTTCATTTTTAAATTAGCTATATCGGATAATAATATGATTATGATTATACTCTAATAAGATTAAAATTTAATTAAATAGATTAAATATATTAAAAAGTACATTCTTTTTGATAAAAAAGATGAAAAGATAAAACTATATTTCAAAGCTCAGCATTATACCTGATAATATGGTGAAACCCATCAACAAAAAATTACTTACTATTCCATGACAAACATTTGATTTTTTTAAAAGCCTAGTTCTCCAGAATAAGATTTTTGTTAAAATTCACCCTTCTGAATATTTTGTATGTATTTGGTGCCAGCAAAGTTTAAAAAGTAGGAACATGAATAAATTAATGAAACACATTTAGTAAAACATTTTGAAAAAGCTGTGGGTTGTGCCAATAACAAATCAGGATGATAATAATTTTTCTTCTTTTAATTTCAATTTGTAATTTAACATGCTACCAGCTATGTCAAATTATCTTTTATATTGATAACCTGTTTTAAGTTATCGAAATTAAAAAGAGTGCATGAAAATATGACTGTATATTTTATAATACTACTTATAGACTCAATATTTAAAATATAATAAATGGGCACTGAAATATGATAAATGCAGTATCAGTTAATAATAAATCTTGATTTATATATTAACTGATACTGCATTTCTAAAAGGGACTATGTCCGGCAACCTAAACTAACCAAAAGTGAATTGACTGTAAATTTAATTATCTTTAAAGTGGACTTAAGAGGTTATTAAGGGACGTTGTGGAGTCACAATCTATATTGTAGAATAGGCAGTGTTCAAAAAGATTAGCTTTGGTTTTTGGAGACTTTTCACTTTTAGTTAATTTCCTGAGAGAGGATGCTATGCTAAATTGAAAATTGATTTATCAACATTTTAAAATACTTTCAGACTAAATATTTAGTAATAATTTACTTATACAAAAAATTACACAACAATATTAACAGTGAATTGAAAGATAAAACTTTTAATACATGAATAATTTAAACAGAAATTAAAAAAAAAAGGAATATAAAAAATTACTTTAATTTTCTTAATTCAATAGCATGATCATCAGGTCCATGAGAATCACTCAATTGCTTCAATTTCTCAGTTAAAATATCAACTTCCTTTTCAACCTTAAAAAAAGTTAAAAGGCAGATTACTCATTGTAAACCACAGCGGAACCACAATTTTACGTTTTTCCATTGAACTAGTATTAAAAAACACACGAGGTGGGATAACGTAAAATCGGGGTAAAACAATGTAACTATATTTTTCGAAAATTGGCATTTACGCAATGAACTTCTAGGAAGAAAAATGCGTAATCTTTACATGTTTTTTTTTTTTATACAAGTATAATTATATCCCTCTCAATACTGAAAATATACCCATTTTCTAAATTAGAATCATCTGCAAACACAAATATTTTGTTTAATAAGATTTCATATTTTGTTGTTTAAATTCATGCTAGCACTTGAATATTGGTGGATATTTTAGTTTATTTTTCGTTCTCTCTTTTTACATCAAAATAAAATATTTTTTATCGAAATCCAAAAAATAAAGTTTTTTCAATTTAAAAAATACTTTCCATTTTTCATTTTCAATGGGCTAGTATGATATTAAAAAGATCACATTTGACTGCCGATTAAAAGTTGTTTCAAGTCATTAACATGATTAAGACTTTTATCAAGCACTCCAGATGTCATAGTATAAAAAATTTCAGCATTAAAAAATTAAATTATAACAGTTTATTCTGATATTTCCTAAAAGTGTTTGCATTTAAATAATGTTGGTGTTTTCAGCTAAGCTCTTGTAAAAAATTCAGAATCCTGAATTAAATTTTGGATAAGGAATAGAAAGTTAAAAATGTACATTAATGTTCCTTGAATGAAATCAAAATTACCTAGACACCCTAATTTAATCTTTAATTATAATAATAACTAAATATACAGCAGTATTATATTTGTAAGGATTAATAATGCACAATTATCTTATAAGGAAAAAAAATTTGTTTATGCCGTGAAAGTACCAGGATTACAGGGAAAAGTTTTTAACATCTGTTTTGAAGGTGTTTAGGAAGGAATTTAACGTCTGTTTTGAACAGACAAGTTGATTAAGTTTAAAGAATAAAGTTTGCTGACACATATAATTCATAATTCAGGTATAAAATCTATCCAGATATGTTTCAGAAGAATATTAAATTTCTTCAACTGCATAAAATGTAAAAGGTTTGTTTAAAATATTTTTAAAATAAATATATTTGTAACAATTTATCTATCATACAATTCATGCTTGTATATCAAATAAATATATGTGCATCAATAAAGTATAAACAATTTTAGAATGAAATTAAAGGAAAATTACTTTTTCCAATGCATTTTTATATTCCATATTCATTTCTTCTAAATGGCTTATTTCCTCTGAATTCATAGCAACTCCACTTATTGTAGATTCAGCAAGATAAGAATCCAATGCTTTCCTACAATGATCTTTTTCCTACAAAATATAATATTGTTGTATCCAAAAATTAGCATCATAAAAATGATGTGCAACAAAAAAAGTTTGTAGGTACTTTGGAAAGAAACATTGCTTTTCTCTGAAGGCGCTTGATAACTGAATCCTGGCGAGATAAATTATCTTGGGAAATCTGTAATTTGTAGTTTAGAGATTTTATTTCATTCTCTTTTTCCTTCATTTGCTTTTCAAGAGTTTCAGAGCTGAAATATCAAACAAGAGAATGACAGTGAAAGATATATGAATAATTTTTTTTATAAAATAAACACAAAAAATTATTTAAAAATTATATTTTAATTGAGGGGCATAGAGCAATAAGTCACAATTTTTTTTTCTTCAAAATCGACAATTTTGCATTAAATTGTTCCCTAGTAGTATTTCCAGATATGTATTTGAGCATCTGAAATTTACATGTGATAACAAACAGTACAATACATAAGAGCATTTTATTATCCACAACAATTTGAAAATATGGCTTACTATTAGAACTTAAGTAAGCACCAACTATTGGGATCATCTTGAAGGAACAAAAAGCAAGTGATGAGTTATTACTGAATTTCAATGCAAATACATTAATTATATCAGTAATAATAAAATGAAGAAAAAGACTAATCAAGTAGAAAATAGATTTATGTTATAAGCATTTTATTTTTTGTTTGAATTATAAAAATTATACTTGGATTGGGAAGTATTGAAATAGTGATTAAAAACTTTCTTTGGAGAAAATTATATTCCACTTTAAAAGAATATATATTTCACTTTAAAAAATAGCATGGAAAAACTATTTTTTTTTTTTTAAAAAGGGAAAATTATTTAGCTCAGATCTTATTTTATAAAAATATATATTTGGAGTTACATTGGTCTTCAAAATGTGTAACTTGATCAAAAGCAAGCAGTGTGTCTGCTGTCTATGTTCTTTAAAAAAAAGATAAAATCCTTCAAGAAACTAAATAACTTTGACAATACCACAACAATTCATAATTGTAAGCATTTTTACAATTTCCAATTGTTGAAGAAAAAAAAAAGAAAGATTTTAAGTTTATTCAGCAACTTAGTTTTTAGAAAGTGCTTTTAGTAAGCCCATTTTTTCAAAAACAGGATTCAAAAATAAAAGTAGTCCATTAGTTTTCGATTGATATATTTAAATCGAAGCAGACCGCTATGAAAAAAATAATCAATGGCTCTATTAAGTAAGAAATCAATCACCATCAATCAAGCATAAAAGGATGGCCTGCTGGTTTGGTCTGGCTTTCATCTTCATAGCTGTTGATATTACACATTCTTTGAAATTTTGATCCATTTTAATTTTAATATTTTAAATAATGTTCAACTTAAGGTAAGAATGCAACATTAAATCCAGTCATCAAAACATAATGAAAAAATTTCAATTTATATTGAGTTTTATTCGCAATTCTTAATTAGTTAACAAAATGAAAGTATTGCAAAATTATTAAATTTATTTGATTTGATCATCTTTTATTTCATAAAAAGAAAAAAATCTAATAGGAGCATGTGAATAGACCAGTCAAAATGTGTACAGACTAGTACATATTTTTAGTTAATACCCCCTTGGACCATTATTTCCACCAGAAAAAAAGTTTAATGATACAAAGAATTTTTTACAAGTAGTAAATATTTGATAGAAAATCATAAATGCTGTAGAAGTTTTCTGATTTATAGAAAAATATATACTTCAAAAAAAAAATTGTCTTTACCTTGATTATTGGGTGCTTAAATTTAATAATTCAAAACCTTTCGGACAATCAATTCAGTTTCAAAAATGATTTTGCACCTAAATTCTGTGGCTAAATAAATGAAAGTGTAAAAACTTTAGAGAACTTATAAATAGCTAATTGTGTGTGAGAGTGTGTGTTGCTTGTTTACACTTTGATCAAAGCTTTTTGTCAGTTTGCGTACCTACTTAGAAAAATAAAATTATTGTACTTAAGAATTAGTAAAAAATGCACTCAAATTATTAATTATTGCTCCATAGTCATATTGTCTTACAAAAGTGTGTCATCTAAACAAGTGCTGCAAAAATAACCATAAAGTAGAATGTGCAGCAAATTTTCATGTAAATAGAATAAATCTATAACAAATTAGGATATGAGAAGCAACTCACTAAGATGACAATTGAGACAATTTATTAGTCAGAACAGCTTCATTCTGTTGATACTGTGACAATCGTCGTGAAAATGATGTAGGTGACCTAAAATAAATTTGGAATCAGATATGTGAATGAAAATTTACAATTAATGAAATATAAGTCTTTTAACTATAGTATTGGGAAAATATAAACATTCATACAACACAAAGGAGAAAAATCATGATACCAACAGCAATTTTGCCAACTAACCCATTATTTAATTTTAAGTAAATAATAGAGAGAAAATGACAAATATTTTCTTAAAAACATTTATTTAATGAAAAGTGAAGAATAAGAGAAATATTACATCGCATGGTGAAATCCTTGACTTTTAAACAAAACAAAAACAGTTAAAGATTGTGTATTTAAAAATTTTATGTCTGTTTGTTAGCCCAACTTAAAACATAGATACTGAATTTTACTACAATTTAGAGAGTAAAACATTTCGATTACATTAGATTGAATGCTAGTTATTATAAAAGTAAAATAAAGAAAATGTTTCACATAACACCACACAACTTTTATGAAAATCCCGTCAAACTCGTGAGAGTCTAATCTGCATGTAATTAAGTCAGTCTAATGAGCCAGGGTGTGAGTTCACTGTCTCTGCAGTGGGCATGTAGTTTTCTTTAGGAGTTTAGTTCCAGGTCGAGTTAGAATGCATTGCACTGCTGCCCTGGGTAACTTACATGCCCTTTGGGATTAGAACTGGATCTTTTCTTACTCTCAGGCCTTTTTCGCCCAGCAACTCCATTGTGGCACTATTAATCATTTGCGACTCGAGGTCTTGTGCTCACAAGTTTGAAATTATTTAGAGCGTTTGCTAACTTGCTGATGTCATGCCAACATTTCATAATTTAGGGAATGGACTATAACAGTATAGGCCCCTAACCAAATACCAAATCTGTGAACGCACACAACTTTACTGAGACTCAAATAACAGCAATAGAAACCAAGAAGGTGACACAGAAATAAGCACAGAACCAAGCAACCAGAATGCAGCACAGTCAATGTTAAAAGATAATGAGAAAAGAAGGCTATCAGATTTTACTATTTGTAAAGAAAAGACTTAAATAATCAACAGAAAAAAAACAACATTTAAATATCAGCTAAGTAATCAAAATCAAAGCAATTTCAAAACTGCCTTGAAAAAATAAATAAATAAACAAAAGAACAAGAGTGTTTTAGAATTTGGTTTTTGAAAGATAGAAATTTATCCTTTTACAATATAATATAAAGGGATATATGAAGATAAAAAATGATTCAGTGGGTGCCAATTTATGTTGAGGTGGTGATGGTGGATATTCAGGTGGTTAGGCGTAGTTGGAGATTTTGACCAATTGTAGATGGTGATGATAAACAGAAGAAGATGAAAACAATATTTGAGCTGGATTAGAATTTAATAAAAAGGCTTTTATTTTATGTATAGTATTTGTAGAGCTCGAGATACAAAACTAAATATTATCCATAAGAATTTCAGTTTAATAAGTTTTGCATAGTAATATCTAAATAGGTCAGGCCATGGGAGACAATCCCCACGACCTGCCTAATCAAAAGCCAAATTAAAAGTACATGTAATTTGCTCCGATCGGACACAGGAGAAGCATGGGTAGGAGATCCAAAAATTGGCGATTTATTAAAATATAGCACAGCCAAAACAAAGCCAATCAGCATATCAATATTGGGTTTAAAAATAATACCTTGGCGATCACGAGTCGCCAACAAATTTATGAGAATTATTACAACCATGCAACTGAAACATTTTTGCGGTTGGAAAATTAGAATAAAAAGTTATAAATAGATTTTTGTTTTCGATTAAAGGCGACAGTGAATATATATGTCTGCATTAGTAATGAAATAAAAAAAAAGTATCCGTTACATTGATCTGGAAGAGAAGAAATAAATATTTTATGTTTGTTTTAAAAAGATTAAGTTTGTGATTTATTTTAAATGTAATTCTATTAATAAAAAATCAGCTTAAGTAATGAAAGATATTTTAAAAGATAGAAAATAAATATGTGTATGCCAATTCTGGCATCACAGGATAAAAGAAATTTATCACTTTACAATTTATTATCCCTTTAAAATTTAATACTTTTTTCTTGCTTATTACATAATAAGCAAGAAAAAAATAAAAAATTTTTTTCTTGCATTAAACTTTTTTCAATACTGCAAAACTAAAGCTATTATGGACATAAAAAATATTTATTTGTCTTCAAAATAAAATTAAAAAAACTTGCTTACTTATATGCAGTTGATTTATCATCAAAAAGATTTTCCCACTGATTAAGTTTCATTTTCAGTTGCTCATTTTCTACCTGTAACTTAGCAACAGCTACACACTTTTGTTCTGCTTGTGTCAGCTTTTGTTGCATGCTCCACATTTTTTCCTGATACAAAGCAATGTTGTTTTCTCTAAAATAATTTTAAAAAAAATACTAAAATAACTTCTTTCATATGTATACATAAGAATTAAAAAAACTATTTTAACCCACTGAGGGTTTAGCAAATGGGCGAAATATGGGAGAATGTTTCAACTCAGTACACTACTTTCCTATCCAATAACATGGAAAAACAGGTTTTGCTATGTCCAGAAGACTGCAGGTTAAAATTCGACTTTTCACATGCAGAACCGTCTGTGGGTTAAATTATAAATAATTTATTTAGAAACATCAGACATATCAATTTACAAGATGAATAACAAAAGAGTGCTTTACTTATATTGGCTGAGTTCTTCTTTCATTATTCTGTTTTCTTTTTGTAATTCATTCAAAGTATTTAAATCAGACTGCCTGCTAGCTACAATTAATGCAGCATCCTTATCCGCTTCAATTTTATTTTCGAGAGTCTGAAAATGACAATAAAGATTTCCTCCATTAAAAAAATTACACGAATAAAAATCTTTCAAATTGCGTTGCTTTATATCCTTATTTTAATAATGAATAGCAAGTAAAGATAAATATGTAAGAAGTTTGGTATAATAAATGAGTAAATGCTTAAAATGTATCGTTTGTAAAATTACCTTTATTCTATCATTAGCTTCTATTAATTCTTTTTGTAAAGTGTTGCATAAAGCCACTTGTTCAGCCATGTCACTATTTTTCCTACAATAGAAACAAAAATTACAGGATTTTTTAAAATTTAAAAGTGTCAAAGCTAACTGACCTTTTAGCCAATACATAAATATTTGGCTTAATTTTCTTCAAGATCTAAAGAAACTGCCTTTCAGAGAGATCAATATTTTCTTAATATATTTTCTTCTAACTGACTGATATTGAAAAAAAAAAGCAAACCACATTACCTAATAAGCACCAGTTGAAATTCTACTGACTATATGTTTACATAGTGAATGAAACAATTGGTTAATAATAAGATAATGTTTAATAATAAGATAGATAATAGGTAATAGATAATGTTTAATGAGATAAATGTTTACATAGGGAATGAAACAATTGGTAAATAATAAGATAATGTTTAATAATAAGATAGATAATAGGTAATAGATAATGTTTAATGAGATAAATGTTTACATAGCGAATGAAACAATTGGTTAATAATAAGATAGATAATAGGTAATAGATAATGTTTAATGAGATAAATGTTTACATAGGGAATGAAACAATTAAGAAGCTCCATCCGTTAGACAATATCCATAAACATAATAATAAAGTTGACAAAATAAATAATAATACCTAAACACCATAAAGTGTTCTCCTGTAGGTGACATTTTACATCAAAATGTTTTTCTTCCAAAATATTTTTGTTTCAAGATTTGCAATTCAAATGAAAATAAGAGGTTCTGTCCATCATGAGTTGTTCATTAAGTACAGTAGACAAAATAAATAACTATGCACCATAAAGTGTTCTTTTGTTAGTAATAGTTTAAGTCAAAATGATTTTCTTTGAAAAGATTTTTGTTTTAAAAATGAAATCATTCACTACAACAAATGATAACCTTATAAATTTTTAAATAAACAATTTCAAATCATTATATATGGTACAAGCCTATGCAATTTTCTTCAAATATTTATTTAATTTTAAGGAAAAATATTTTAAAATTTTTTTAAACTTGTATATGTTTTTAACGCTTTTAATATGTGTTTATAAAACTCAAATTACTAAGCAACAAACTAAAAAAATTCTTCCGAAACACAGTAAAGTGTAGGTGATACTTGGAGTCAAAATGATTTCTCTCCAAAAGATTTCTGTTTTTGAGAATAAAATAATTCACCACATGCAATCATATTCTTATACATTTGAAGATAAACAATGTTAAATTATCATATATAGCTTGTAAATTTCCTTAAATATGATATTAAAGTAATTATGAAATACTAAACTTTCAGTATATAGTAATCAAAAAAAAAAAAAAAAAACACTTTGACTTTATACATTTTAGAATAAATGTATCTGCATGCAATAAATGAATTTTTAAAGTTTGTAATATCAGGTATTTTAGAATTTATGCCTAAGCTAAAGTAATTATTAAAAAATGAAATCTGCATCTTTACAAATTTTATAAAACAAAGAATTTTGACTTTCGAATTTTACTTTAATTTTAAGTGTAAAAGTAAATTAATTTAATTTCAAGTATTAATAAGAAAAATTTAAAAATAAAAACTTTACATACTTTTTAAGACTATCAATATAAGATTGAGATTTTTCTGCTTCTTCTGTAAGCATGCTAACTTTTAACTCTAATCTAAAAAATAAGAATATTGATTAATACTGAAACTACATAAATATCATTATAAAGCTTAGTGGTAAGTGATCAAAGGGCCAGTTTAGTGAATTTGAGAAGACAAGCATTAAAGTTCTCTCTAAGAGTAAGAATTTCCACATTAACTAAATTAAGATAGCAAAAGTTATTAAAAATATAAATAGATCAAATGAAATAATTAATATTTAACCATAGTATGGGTATTAAATGCCAAAGAAAGATATAATGCTGAGTAATCAATTATCTGTGCTATGATCTGAGCTAGATAAACATGATTATAGAACTCAGTGGATAAGTGATCAAGGTGATGTTTTAGTGAATTAGTTTAGTAAAGAAGCTTTAAAGTTTACTTTAAGAGTAAGAATTTTCATGAACTAAATTAAGGAAATGGAAGTTTCTAAAAGTATAAACAATATAAATGAAATAATTAACATCTAACCATACTAAGGGGAAAGACCATTAGACAATGCCAGCATTCATCTATCAAAAGGTACTTCAAGATTGAATCAAGTTAGCATGTTTTACATACTAGTGAATTGATATTTAATTATTCTAATGGTAGTTATGCCACAATACTCCCCCACCAGAATTTTATCAGGGATAGAATTCAATGAACGGATACCACTAGCTGCTGTACTTGTGAAAGACTGGGTGATCTGTATTAAGGTCACCGGGTTTTGAGCTTTAGCCATGAGAGCTGTATTAAGTTCATGGCTGTGTGAGTTGTCACTCTTGTGTTGCTATTAGCAGTCGAGTGTGTGCAGGGTCCCGTTGTGTAAATGAGACTGAGAAGAAATAACGCAAGTAAGACGATGACGCAGTCACAAATAGCGAGTCAACTTTTCAATGTTAACCATTCATCGAAGTAGGCATGTTCATAACACGTCCACAGGTCACCAATGAGGGAAGAAACCATTAGACAATGCCAACTTTCATCTATCAAAAGGTACCTCAAGATTGAATCAAGTTAGCATGTCTTATATTCTAGTCAATTGATATTTAATAATTGTAGTTGTAGTTATGCCACAATACTATGGTTAACTGCCAATGAAAGATACAATGCAGAGTAATTAATTGTCTGCCAATAATGATGTGAAATCCTTTTAAATGACCAAGGGGAATACAAATACTGCAATTAAGTTGAAGGAAAGAGGAAAGAAAGGAAAGGTTTCTTACAGATTTCCTTGTGGTTTATGCAGTGCTGGCTGACTTCTCCCCTGCCTTATTGAATTGTTTGTTTCTAACTATAAAACAGATAGAAACCTATCCACATAGGTTTTTTGGGTTTACAAAACTAATTGAACAAAATTTTAAAAGATTACAATTTCCAGCAGATAGGTAATATCTTATCTGTATTTGAAATTTAAATTAGCACAGTATTTGGCGTATATGCCGATGGGATTTATAAGCTGATTTCATTTTTACATGAGTCTTGCAGAAGAATTCTTGGATTAGTATGCATTTATTCAAAAACAATTATTTATGAAAAAAAATACAAAATAGTTTGTTTTTCTTATCTTTGGACATAATTTTTTAAATAAAAAAATAGCGTGAAAAGACAAGTTTTCGATTAATGATGGACTGTACGATGCCATCTACCAAAGTGGAAATAAATTTAACTTAGGAATAACTAATTAAGTGCAGAATATTTGTTTTTCCCATTCCCTTACTTATATTTTCAAAATATATATTTAATTTTCAAATTTTTGCAAAATAAGAAAACTTCATTACAAAGCTCAATCTAATTTCTGTAGTCACTCTCATTTAAATTTCTTTTTCATTTTCTTATTAATGCTGATTACATTATTTTCTTCAATTGAGAATTGTAACTCAACTTCTTTACTCAAATTTGTAAAGACAGGAACAAGAAATGTCTAGAAGTAAAATTAATTCCAAGCAGGGTTTAGGAAGCACACTGTATGGTCTACGGTTAAACAATTTTTGCCAATTTCCAGAACCATTATATACATAAATGCTCTCATTAAAGAATCAAAGAAACGTGCCTTGGTAAGAGAAATTGCGGTTGTATGCTGCTATTAAAATTCAGGTTTGCAATTCTTAAAAACCCTTATTTTTCTTTAATAGAATTTAGGAATTTATATAGTCTTAAAATAGGAAAACAGTGTATGCAACAATTGAAAATTTTCGTGATGTTTATCTCAGGTGTAGGGTTTATAGTGGGGCGATGTTTCTATTAGATATTACTGTACTATATATAGCTATATATCAATGCGAGAAAACAGTATCTGAATAATAATAATAAATGCATACTTTCCAATTTCCATATTCAATTTTCGTACAGCTTCAGTTTTTTCACTTTTGACCTAATATAAAATTTGCACGTAGTAAATAATACATCTCAAATAATGCCATCTTGTTAAAATGTGGAAACATTAATAAATATTTTTATAAAAGGAGCATATAAAATTTTTTATTACTGTTTAGATCTAGGAGTACTTTTTTTTCTTAATGCAATATCAAATAGATTTTATTAGAATATATTTCTAAACTTATTGACATTTCATTCAGCATTATGTGAACTTATTTGGCTGACTATCTAAAATAAATAACTTTTGGTTACTTAAATTTCACAAGAAAATATGAAGTTTATTTCCTTTTTAACTCTTTACATTTACAATCTTTAAAATATTAAATACAGCAGTAGAAAAGATTTAAAACATGTTAGATGTTAAAAAAAAATTTTTTTTCTCTCTTATGAATTTTAAGAATTGAAAACTTTTAATCGAACAGCTTAAAACACCATTTAAGTTTGATGGAGTCAAAATGATATTGCTCAACTAGATATATCTACATATACAGTTGTAAAGTTTACAACATGTATTTCTTATGCTTCATAAGTTTATTCTAATGAACTACTTATCAATTAAAATTTAATTATTCAACACAAATATACATAGATATAAATATATATAGTGAAATCCCAGATATAGGTTGTCCATTTCGTACATTATCCTGCTTCCTACGTCATTTTCTGCTGGTCTGTGAAAATTCCATATACTGACAATGTTCAATTATCCTCAATTTTACGTTACCCTTTTTTATCTTGCTTTATACGCTTTTATAACAGATCAAAATAATTTTTCTCTACAAAGCTTCCACAAACTTTTTCATAGTTTATTTTTCTCTTGTATATTATCTGTTTGTAATGTTTTTGACATTAGAAGGAAACATTTGCAAATGCATACCATTAAGGGTTTTAATTATAATTGTATCTAAATTTTAAAAAAAAAACATGTAATGATTAAAAAAATTTTAATCCTGATTTTATGTTATCCCGCTTTTTGTGTTTTTTAATGTTAGTCTGACTTAAAACGTAACGTAAAATCGGAATTCCACTGCATGTATAGGCATACAAGTAAAGTTGTAAAGAACAGTTATTAAACATAAAAACAATAAGAAAAATAGTAGATTAATACATACATCTGCTAACTCAACTTTTAAGTTGCTACATTCTTGTTGTATAGCTAATAGTTTCATTTCTAGCTGATCACGATCTACCTTTTTAGAATACTCAAATTCATGAAGTTGACTTTTAGCACTGGCAGCTTGCTTCTTTGCCCATCTTAATTGTGCTTGCAATTCTTCAATCTTTTGAGAATCAATCTAATATATTTATAAAAAAAGGAAAATAAAAACAATTAAATCATTTCAAGAAAACTACCTAAATGTCATTTTTTAGTATATTGTTGGTAATTTTAACTGAGAAGTCAATCATATATCAACCATGGGCATCATATATCAACCATAAAATTGTAAAACAAATTACTTGATAACAAAATAAAATATACAAAAAATTACTTCATTTTGCTTTCGACATTCTTCAAGCTTGGACTCCAAACTGAGACAAATTTTTTTATTAGCAGGCTCCATGACGCTAATTAAAGATTCTCGCTCTTTTAGTTTTGCTTGAGAAGCTTGCAATTCTACTTCTGCACTAACCAATTTTCTTTTCAATGAATCTAAAATTATTGAAAGAAAGAAAGCACATTATTCATACTTCACTAAATTCAACTTAATCTGGCGGCACTATAAATTTTTAGGCAGAACTATTGCCGTTCCAAGATCTAATTATGATATCATCCATTATTAGAAAAGTAAAATATAATCAACAAAATAATTGAGTGATTTTAGAAGGCTTCTCAAGTGGAAGTTTAAACTAAATAATGAATAATTTAAATGACTGAATTTAAAAATCATTTAATATGTTGAATTAAATTAAATCTGAGCTTTTCTTACTACAAAGGTTCTTAAATAAGCACTTTCAACTTAACATGTAGAAGGAAAATTATACAGGGGTCTGTCTAAGATTTTCTGAGAGGTACCTATTTTGTGAAAATTTAAAAATGATATTAAAAATTCAACACAAAAATACGTAAAAAATATGGATTTATCGCTTCTTAAGGGATACAAAAATAAAATTTTAAGAAATTATTCAAAATTAAAATCTACCGTTTTTCCTAAAATTGAATTTGTGAAACTACCGTTTTTCCTAAAGTTGAATATGTGAAGGTACCGCTAAACGGTAGTAAATTTGGCCTAGACAGACCCTTGTTATAGGCATCCAGATAAACTTTTTATGAATCTGTAGAAGAGTGTAAGAGACTTTCCTTAACTGTGAGCTGCGATCGAACTAATGACCTTCCGATTCATAACCAAATGCTCTAAACACTACGAAAAAGGTGCATATCTTGACTATGAAGTGAATTAATAAGCTTTATATAATTTCAACCGTACCTTTCTTTCTGATGAAGAACTCCGTTATATAATTCTTTCAAGTGAAGTAAAAAGCCTGACTTGTTATCAGCCATAAGCATTTCATCTCACTGATCCGTAATGAAGTTATTATTCCACTGCAGTTAGGGCTTTGATGTACTTTAAAACTTACGGTGATTTGTTTGTCATTGTATAAATAAATGGGAAAATTTCCATATCCGTACCTGCCCCAAAATAATTGCCAAGTTTCAGTGACTACTGGGCTATGCTACCGAAAAAATAAAAAATACAAGGGAGAAGCAATTTAGAGAAAATAACTCATAGCCCAGTGCAAACAGGTACAAGAACAGAAATAACACCAAGCAAACAGAGAAATTAGGCAAAATAATGTAATGGATCCATCTATTGAGGAGTGAGATATTTGTATGTTTCTTATCTGGGAGCAAAATGTTCCCAGACAACTATCTATCACTAATGTTGAGCAGATCAAATAAGAGGTTCATTGGCTGCCTTTGGAATTGAACCAGGAACCTTTGGATCTGAAGCAAAATTCTCTATCTCCTAATTCTCCTACCAGAAAAGAAGGTGAACACTCAATTACCAGGTTGAAACTTTATATAATCAATAATAAACTTTATGTAGTTGCCACTGCAAGTTTAAAGTTTCTCAACCATACAATATTTACATTTGGGATTTTTTTTTAACAATTAATTTCATTTTTTATAAATTACTTGAAGTTGAAACACTACACAATTGAAACAATTTTGTTTTACAAGAAGGGAATACGCGTGAAAATTAAGTTTCTTAAGGATATGAAATAATATTTAATGGCACACAAATATAATATTTTAATTCATTAATTAAACTCTATTAAAATTTCAATCACAAATTTTGAGCCAGCAAGATAACTAATATATAAAGCAGATAAAATTTACTTTTCAACAAGCTACGTTTTTTATTATAAAAATTCGTTACCAGGTGTTTCCATTTTTAAAAAAGATGATGAATCTGAGTAACAGCGTGAATCTTCCAAACCACTAAAGTTTAATTTAGTTGCAGTATTAGGAAGATAAATATGACTTGGGCCAGCAACGGAGCCTTTTAAACCTGATACATAATTCTTATAATCATGTTCAATAGATTTCATTGGAGTTAATGATTTCCATATAGAATTTTTCACGTCTCTCAGCATACGAATAACTTCTGTATTATCTTTCGGTGATGTCATTATAATAATATATGAAACTAGGAGGAATTAATTAAAATAAAATAATTTCATGTCGATCTTTCAATGCGAAGGTGCTACTTGTTTACAAACAAACGCGCCAAATGAAAGTAAAAGTTCAAGTTTTGAAAATTGCTCAAGTATGGTTTTGTTGAAGCTTTTAATGGTGTATGGTTTGTTCATTCAAATTAAATTGGTTTTTTAGTAGTATAATGCAAAAATTTAAATATTGGAAATAATTTTTTTTTTTAAATAATCTCCAACTTTTTATTATAAGATGGCAACAGTGAATGCCAGTCATGTCAATAAATATTTGATAAGGACTTAAAATCGAACTTTGTTTAAACTTTTTCCTGGTTTGAGTCTTATACTTAAATTTCTTATAAAATTCTAAACAAGGCAAAACTTTACAACAAAAATGTTGTCTAAAAAGTTATATACATCCTTGAAGTCATCTGCAAATTATGGTTAGTCCTTAAACTTAGGAATAAATCTTTTTTTGTTTTTTTGTCTTGAAACATTCCCTAACTTTTTTGTGCTTTAAATCTATGAATAAAATATTGTTTCACGCCTTCTTAATAATTTTCCGTCTAAATATTTAAGTGTTTTTCTTAGTGAAATTTTTTTATTTGAAGCAGGTGTCTTATCAAATTTTTCTGGGCTGAGAGAAAATATTATCTTGCAAGTCATTATAAGGAAATAATTACTGATGAAATTGTTTCTAGAAATTTGATAAAGATTACCTAATTCAAAAACTATATATAGTTCAGTGAAAAAACTGACAAATCTTAGTTATTGCTGACTTTCTAATTATTTATCTTTTTAATCATTATTTTTAGTTATTTTCTTATCTATTTTTATCTTGGGAATATTTCTGTTTTATGATCTACGTTGAGTGTTGGCAACTTTCTGCAGTGGCCCACATGAAACTAATAAAAAATCACGAAAAAGGAGCAACTCAAAGGGTATAACTGATGGCCAACCTGAAAAAAAAATTTGCTTTATTTTTTGTATGTGCAAGTTCAAAAACCATTTAGCTCCTTGGTGATTGTAGCTTGTGCGACAAACCATGATACGGAAGTACCCCCTTTAACTTTCTTGTCTTAGGGTTTAAATATTAAGGTTTTTCTTTCACTTCAACTAACATAATTGATTTGATATTATCGTTTTTATTTTTTTAGGTTTACGTGCAATTAGTTGCAGTAGTACATGCAATAAAAAACTAGATGGTAAGTTTTTCTCCTAATTATATTTCTTTCAGGGATGGTTATCCTTAACAAAGTTAATCACAAGTGGTATAAATGCAGAATAAAATCAAGAGACTTCCGGGTTACTAATCTTAATTAATTTTCACTCCAAAACTTAAAAAGATACTGTCTTTGAAATTTTAAAGAATTTAGTGAGGTCACAAAATGCACAATACTGAAGCTTCGGCCAACTTATGGTGCGCATATTCAAATTTAGCATGGAGCGCCCAATAAGTGTGAATATAATATATTATACTCCATATATTTTAATTTGCTTAGTGTTATATAACATTTTCACCTAACTATGTAATTTTTTTAAATTAATTTCTTTAAGGTATTTATGTTTGCTTTGCACTGAAACTATTAAAAAAAGCAGCTATTTAAAAATAATAAAAATTCAGCTCCATAAGTAAATAATCATAAATAATGTGAATTCATCTTTTATTTATTGATTGATATCAGCATATTTTTAAATCTTGGGTTATTGTTGTTAATCTCTGATCAATGACTAAGAAATTGTTTAAATTTTGTTGACAGTTCAATATAATACTCAATTCATAAGGAGAGAAGATATTTGTGATTTGCTGAAAAAGAGGAGCAAGGGATATTTGCAAATGCAAGACATTAAAATTCTTTTATTTTTATTGTATTTTTTTAAGTACAAAAAATAAAAAACAATATTAATAATCAGCTAATTTCTGAGGGTTTCTTTTAATTTCATATGAAATAGTAGGTCTCAAAAAAAAAATGTCACTTAAAAAAATTTTAATTTTGCAGTAGAAGTTAAATTTGGAGAAAGATAAAGTTAGAAAAATATTTCACCAAAGTGTTTCAAGGATGAAGAGGTTTGACCTGATAGAAGAAACCCTATGAATTTCTAAAGAATAGAAGACTTTTCCACAACTCCACTTATGTGCCTAATTGAATATGCTAAAGCAGGGGTGTCAAACTCAAAATCTAACTTGGGCCAAATAAACAATGCTTAACTTTAGACGGGTCGCAAAAGAAAAAATGTTCATAGAAAACAAATATATTTATTTTGAATTGTAATAAACATATATAAAGTTAAATTATTGTTTACGTCATGATATACTTGAATCTCTTCTCTGCTACTATCTTTACTATTTTGGGGAGAAATTTTCTTGGTTGAGACTACTTTCAAAATTGACCCAACGTGAGAGTTATTAATACAGTTTTGGACCGGAATACTAAATAATTTCATATGCAAATTTTCGAGTATTTTCAAACCTTGCGGTAAATATTCATAAAATTCAAGCACTCCCACTTCAATGAATTTTGCCTTCAAATTTGAGTCTTACTGAATCTCAATCACTTCCATTTGCATATAACTGGGCACTGAGTCTATATTTATTGAGAAAATCGAAGAAAACAAACAAAATTTGTCTTCCAAAGAATTAAAATCTTTAAACCTTGTTTCAAAATCTGTTCTAAGATTTGAAATTTTTTTCTGCTTACTTTTGTTACGATGCAGTATCATCTAAACTAGATTTGTTCTTGTTGCACGTTGGGAAGTGCGTTAGAACTTCATTTTTCAGTTGCCTTTACCAAAGAAATAGTTTATATTTGAATACTTTAATTATGTCAAACATGTTTGTAATGATCTGATCATTGCCTTGTAACAATAAATTTAAATCAGATAAGTGTTGGGTTATATCAACCATAAAAGATAAATCTTGCAACCATATTTAATCGGAGAACAAGCTCGTATCTTGATTTTTAGTATGTAAAAACTTACATATTTCTTCTTTCCCAGAATTGTTTTAGAAGCTTGGTGCAAGATAACCAACTTACCTCGCTGTAGTAGGATAAACCTGAATATGTAGGTACTATCTAATTGATAGCTTAATGTGAAATGGTCTCCATTTCAGCCAATTAGAATTCTACATTTTCGCATGTGCAATTTAAAATAATCCGTATAGTTTATAAATAAAGTATATTATAATTTTATAAGCTGGTTTCGTTTCTAATTCACATTTCCAAATTATTTTTATTTTGCTTTGGATATATTGACTAGGCTACAAAAATGTTCAACTCGGGCCGCAAGTTTGACACCCCTGTGATAAAGGCTGGATAACGCTGAATAGATAGGAAAAGTGGCCCAAGGTTCATATCATGTAAAGAAAAAAGAAGAAGAAAAAAAAGCAATCTGCTTAAATGCTTATGTGTTAAAATTAAATTAAAAATATTTCTGTCCAAAATTTTATAAAACAAAAGTTAAATTTTATTTTATGCATAATTGCATTTTTTATTTGAATTTAATTCTATAATTATTTAAATTGGTGTAACTACAGTCTATGTTGAAACACTGCAATGCAAATGAAACTATGCAAATTTCTTTTCTAAATGTGGGAGGAGGATTGTGATTTGCTTATTCTTGTTGACAAGACAGAAAAATGTCAAAAGTAGGCATAAACGTGTCATTGTAATATTAGAACAGCTTCCTTAAAAGTCATAAAAATGAAGAAAATGTTTTTTTTTTTTCTCTCTCTTTATTCTGATAGCTAAAATAGTCTCACTCTTTATGTTTTAAAAATTGAATATATTAATTCTCTGTTTTGAAAAGCTTAACGTCTTCATTACTTCGGTTCACATATGTGGATTTTCATTACCGAAAGCATGCTATAAAAAATATATAGTTCTATACCCTCACTGAAACATTAGTAGATGCTTCAGCTTTCTGTGGAGATACAGAACAAGTAAGATATTTGGGTAGAATTCCTCATAAACAGAGGTGATTTTCGAAAAATGACTCCAAATCAAGGTGCTTGAAAATTTAAGTAATTTTAAATATTACATTAATTAGTTGCTCTAAAAGCAATTTTTTTTTCACTCTGTAGTTCTGTGATCTGTATGAAACTTTTCCATTTATATTAACTTAGTATTAAAAAAATAATACAATCAAGAATATGCTGGTACACTGCGTACCTTTGTAGGATTAACAAAATTTATCTGAGAGTAGTAGTAAAGTGAAATCTCATTGTATTACAAGTATTTTATATTATATACATCTAATAATATTTTTATGTGTGTTTAAATTCATTGAGTTATATTTTAAGGTGCATGCATACATTTAAAACTTTTAACTTATTGTGTGTTTTTTCATAATTATAAAATATTACCTCCAAAAATTAGATATTTTTTTTAATAATTAATGTTAGATTCTTTTCAATAATTATTTATTTAGCAAGGTTTGCATAATTGGAATAGTTTTGAAACTGGGATTTAATACATTATTGCCTTGTACTTAGTTAAAACTTCATAATTTTAAAATTTACTTTTTTCTAAGCAATTATTAAATTTATTCATTTTTGTATTTAACCTGACCCTAATATAACAATATTCATGTATGTTTTTACTTTAAGTGCAATTTAACATTTAAAATATTTACTTAGTTAAAATCTGAGGTACATTTATGTGTACCCAAAATTGTTAGCCCTATGGCTGTAAAATTCATATTTTGTTTATATTTTTATGACTTATCTTTATCTTATTAAGTAAAATAGAAATTCAAAACTGTAAAATATTTTTTTTTGCAATATTCCTTTATACTTCAGTAGTGAAGAGGTTGAATACCTTAATTTGTTCTTTATTCTAGCTACCAAGTCTAGCAGCCTAAAGAATGTTGTTCTTGTGGAAGGAGTAAGAACTCCTTTTCTTGTATCAGGCACTGATTACAATAACATTATGGCTCACGATTTGCAACGACATGCTTTTGTGTGAGTATATCTGATAAATTTTATTAAATTATAACATAATTTTTCTACAAAATTATTTCTATATTATTTTTAAAATCTTTAAAGTTATCAAAAACTGTTGAATCTTTTCAAATTATTTTTTGAGCAAGAGTATAAGTTTCTATGTAGAATTCACGATTTTCTCATATTTGTTTTACTTTATTTTATATCCACCATTGAACAGTCTTCCCCTTTTTGAGTTTTCAACTACCGATGTTTAACTATGTAGCCTTGTAATTTCGTACCGAATTTAGAAGATAAAGGAACTTCTAGATCAAATCTTGGAAAAATTTGCCATCATTGAGAACTTTTTGGTGGAACTAAGCAGCATTTCCATTACATGGAGAGAAAAACCTCCCATAGTTAGTCAGGGGAACAAAAGGACTCTAACCCATGATCTGTCTACCAAAGACTATATTTTTCATCAGCACTAAGGTTGGCGCGAGCCAAGTGCAGAATTCATAGCGATCAGGCATCGCTCTTTGAACCTGGGTCACCTCATTCAAAGGTGAATCCCTGAACTACCACAGCTCTTCATATATTTCTTATAACTTAGTTCTCCTTTCAGTTTTTTAATCATTTACCTACTAATTGTTATATTTCTCGGGACTTTGAATAATAACCACACTGCTAAAAGTTTATTGCTATGAACTTTAAAAATGTATAAAAAAACTAATTAGATGAAATTTAAAATTTCAGGATTGTTAAATATTGAGAAAAGGGGCTTGCAGATTTCTTTTCTTTCTTTTTCAGTGTGGTTTATCGAGAAATTATTTGCTTATTAATGTTCATAAAGTTGAAATTATGTCAATCAAACCTTTGTAAATTTTGCTATTTGAATCTTTCTTATTTATATCAATATTTATATTTTTAAATGGTACTATAATTTTATTTAAATAAAACTTCATTACCAACATTTCAATATAATGCTGTATTTCATAGCATGTTAATTATTTAGTGTTTACTTATCCTTTTGTTGAAATTTTAAATATCTTTTTATACATTTTTATGAGCTTATGCTGCACAATCTTGTTTTGAATTGTTTTCTAAAAGCATTTTTTTACTTTATTTCCAATTTTTCCCTAATTTTCTATATTTAATATATTTTTTTCTACTTTAACTAAGTTATCTGTCATACTACACATATATTTTTTTGTTTTTAAAATAAAATTTTTCTTGCTCAGAACTAGTAACAAACAACATTTGCATTAAAAAACTGTTCATCCAAATTGGTTAATTTGCATTTTCACACTGCTTATACCTTGTATTGTACTACACATTTACTTATGGCTCATAGGTTATATATTTTATTAATTTGCATGGTTCTTTGCTTTCTAGATCTCTGTTGCGTCGCACTGGTATTCCAAAAGGTAAATTCTTGCTTTTTTTATGTGTGAGAGTTTTGTTGTTGATAATTTTGTTGTTAAATATTTTCAAAATTTTTTTTTCTTATGCAAAATATGTATTTAAAATTATTTTGTGTTTGTTTATAAGATTTTTTTTACTATCACAGATTTTTCTAATGCATATAACTGAAAGTTTTACATATGTGATTTATAAATAATTTTTTATTATTATTCAGTTATATAGTTATATTTTTAAAAATATATTTATTCAAAATTTGATGTATTTTACAACTAACCAAATATATATTATATGTCAAATATGCCATTTTCTTTTATAATTGTATTAAAATTTTTAAATATATATTTAACTAATCTGTTTCAAAACAAAAATATTCACTGCTATTTGTATTAGCTTATTGTTTACGAGTTTCTTGTATTAAGTTTATTATTTTCGAGGTGCAATTGAAAAAGACTATGTTGGTATCACTAAATCAACTTTAAAGTTCATAGAATAAAAATGAAGTACACAAGAAACAATAATTTAAGTTTACAATTAGTATACAGGAAACGATGAGGACAATACACATACATGCAGAACTACGAACACACTATTCATCAGTATACATAGTATACATAATAACTTATATGCGAATTTGCAAGTTATATTCATAAGAAAGTGGGAAATGGTAGCCCTTTGGTAAATAGTATTTTATCTCTTAAAAATGTTGTAATTTCCTTTAAAAAAAAAAAAAAAAAGAGTACAATGCTGAATACTTTCAGACATATTTTTCCTGATTAAGTCACTTGTGTTCAGCCCAGATTTAAATATTCCTACAAAAAAAAAAATCTCATGAGTTAATAAAATTTATAATAAATTTTTTGAAACTATTCCTCTAAACCAAAAAAATATTATATTTTCAATATAGCTATGCTAAATTGAAAACAAGTTAACAGTAGAATAATAACATCTGTGAAAGGTAGTTTGAAACTAGTATACAGTGGAAAGTCGCGTATCCGGAATCGGCGGGACTTTCCGAAGTCCGATTTGAATTTTTCCGTATAATTGACCTCCAAGGTAAACAAAGCTTAAAATGATCTGAATCTAAGAAGCAGAAAATAAATAAACATTATTTTTCTTGCAATAATGTTTTAGTATTAGAATGATATCTAATCAATCATAAATAAAATATTAGAAAAAAAATAATTATTGCTATTCTAAAAATAAATATAGAAAACGAAAAAAATTCCCAGTTATGAAAATATTAATTGCTCTCTCCACCATTTTGAACTAGAACGATTCAAGCAAGAAGGGGAAATTCCCGTCATTCAATAAGGTGGGTAGGTGGAGAAGAAAAATTCATTTCCTCCTTACTTGTCATTCAAGTTGAGGGCGGGGTAGTGACAAATTCTTATTTTCTCTCCCATCATTGGCTATCAATCAAGCATAAAGGCGTGGCATGCTAATTGGGTTCTCTTTATTTTTTCTTGTGTGACTAAAGGGGATTCCCCCTCCACTTTAACATTCAAAAAGGTCCCAGGAAATGCCTCTTTTACTAGCCAGCTGCATAGGAAAGAAGGGGGAGGGAGGGGACTCAGTTGTGCTCTTTTGAAAACAACCCCCCCTCCTTTCCTGCATTCCAGAGGAGGAGCCTCATGGTCTTAGTAGATCTTATGTTCTCTTTTCTGTTGATTTATGGGTTCAATGCATAGATCTCTAGAAGCTGAAAAGGGGAAAAACCTGTCAAAAGACTTCGTTTTTTTTTTTTTTTTTTTAAAAAAAAGGAGAGGGGAAGATGAAGAAATGTTTGTTTATTTTGATTGTTAAAAAGTGTCCGGGGAAATCGACCCTTCCGGAAAAGGGACGTCCGGATATGGGACGTTACACTGTACTTCTTTCTGAATACCAAATAAATGTGTATTCATATAAAAAAATTTTAGATTCAGAAAAAATCTTATTGCTTAAATGTGATACTCTGCATGGCATATCTTAAATTCTCTGAACCATCTTATCAAGTGTAGACAAAGCTATATATCAATAAACTCAAAATTTAAGGTTGTGCTTAAATATTTAAAGTTCTCTAAATTGAATTTTCGCTAAAGCCTGTTTACTTTTGATGTGTGGGATGAGTATTTTGATGTGCCCTTTCCTGACAACATTATTAAATAAGTAGATAGATAAATAGCAGAGTAAATTTAATGCAATCAGAGAACTCAGGAATCATAGATTCGGCTGGTTTTACACTGTTATCCATCATATTTCCAACAACTTTTTTTTAATAGAATTTGATAAAATGCTTTATCAAAAAAGTAGAGCATGCTGTTTCATTTTAGCCTTTTTGATGTGCTCTTTGTATTTCATGAAAAATGCTACAGTTGCAAAAACTATGTTTTTTATCTTATTCATATTCATATCTTTGTAAAAATGTAAGACTCAATTTTATTATTTTAGAAATAATTGAATACATCATTGTGGGAACTGTTATTCAAGAAGTCAAAACAAGCAACATTGCAAGAGAGGTAATAAAAAATTATCTCGTAATCCTTATTGCATAAATATAAAGAAACTTCTCTTAAATGCAAGTCTGTTTTTAATTAGGTTTTATTTGCTTATGGACTATTTAAAAAAAAAATTAGTTTTTGAAATTTTGTGCTATTTTGTATGATTAATGCATAATTTTAATACGGAATGAAGAACTCTTTAAAATTATAAGTAGAAAGTGAGTAACTTACAAAGTGCTGAATGATAGTTGTAATTGAAAATGCTCCTTAAAACTAGATTGTTCTGAAAAGAGTAGAATTTTCGTTTCAACTTTTTTATATTTACCATATAGCCTTTGAACAGTAAGTTTTATCTTTAATTTTTTTTACAATTTCATATCCTGGTAATTATTTAAGGTTTGTTATTGTCAAATAGTCTAAATATTAAAATATTAAATTAATTGTCCAATAAATAAGTTTATTTTTGATTAAACTGTTGTAATTATAAAATCTAATTTCTGTTAAAAAAAATTTCATTATTTTGTTTATCTGTATAATTTTTAGTGTCAAACATTTTTAAATATTCAGTAAAAGAATTGTTATTTCATAGCTGCCAACTGTTACGATTAAATTATATTTGTTCTGATATCTAGCCTTGTTTCGAAAATAGGATTTTAGGTGAAAATGTTCTGATTTTTCGGTAGTCTAGCATCTTTCACTCCTTATACTCATTTTTCTTTCAACATAGGTCGGGTCTAAAACCTGGAAGCAGGGCATAAGATTTTTCTCTGAATTCTTCAGAATTCCACCTATTTCAAGACCATTAATTCGTGCAAATCCGTGAATCCAAAAAATTTTCTTAATCCCTTTAACGAGACATTTACATGCATATGATTCTTTCACCAATTTGATTCTTCTGGTTTATCGAATATTCGCCATTTTGAATATTTGAATTGCATCGGAATCTGCTAATATCACATTTCTTACTCACACAATTTTAATATCAAACATCCTTTTTTTATATACATCTATTTTAAAAATTACATGTTGTAATTCGTATTCTCGTGATTTAAAAATCGTACATTGTGATTCCTATTCATGCGATTTAAAAATCCAATGTTGATATTTTTATTTACGGATTTTTAAAACCCAATATCATGATTTGTATTTATGTGACTTTAAAATCTAATATAGCAATTCGTATTCACATGTTTGTAATATCTAACTTCGATTTTCGTGTTTATGCACGATTTAAAAAGCTATGCATCATGATTTGTATTTGCGCAATTTAAAACCTCAATATCGCAATTTGAATGTTCACATTTTTAAAATCCAATATCATGATTCTTGTAAGAAGTAAGCTTTTTCTTCAGTTAGTTACTATTAAGGTGTTATATTCTTCTTTAGTGAGTGATCTAATTAAAAATGTTAATTCAAAAAATTATGTTAAATATGAAAGAGGTATGGTATATAAATTGATGTCTGGATATAAATTTTTTGCATATAAAATTTTCAGAATTTTTCACTTTGTGTAACAATTACCCCTGATTGGCTTTGTGTTCCTATTTTTATTTTTAACAAGTTGGCAGCTATGTTATTGGTTAGATTTGACCAATTTAATAATATTTAAAATTTTAACTTTTTATTCATTTACAAATCAATTTACTTAAAACGTATCACTAAGATAAAGTTTATTTCAAAAATTAGGAAGTTGTATTACTTTAAATGGTTGAGAAAATGTAAATAAATTTGAAAATATATAGGATATTATGCAATATAATAATTATACATTCAAAATAGAAATGAAAGAAAAAAGAACTCATGTCAATTTTTGGAATGCATTCTTCAAATAGAGATGTATATTGTTGATAATTAACTTGAAAATATTTTATGTTCTTAGGCTTCTCTTGGTGCTGGATTATCTCTCCACACCCCTGCACATACAGTTACTCAAGCTTGCATATCTTCTAACCAAGCAATCACTACTGGTAAGTTAGCTTGTTCCTATAATAAACTGTGCAAAATTACTCATCCGAAGAGTTAATTTTATCATATTTGGATGAATATTTGAATCAAAATAATTATTATTTTCAGCATTTGGTCATTTAAGCACGGGACAAATCGATGTTGCAGTAGCTGGAGGAGTTGAATTTCTTTCTGATGCCCCAATTCGATTTAATAGACCTATGCGTAAACTTATGATATCTGCTAACAAAGCAAAGACAGCAATGCAAAGAATTCAACTTCTTCTAAAATTGAGGCCTAACTATTTTACACCTGAAGTAAATATGTCTTTTTATTTTGCATGATTTTTTAAAAAAAATTTTATTGAAAGTATTTTCATCTGATTTCTATCTATTGTTTTGTGTTTACTTTCAGAGTCATCTATAATTGATATTTTTATGTTAATAAAGTTCTATAACATAGAAAATTATTTTTTATATGTAAATTAATGTGCAACTCTTGTATAATGTAAAAAGAAAGAGTGTCTTTCTTAACGTTAATATGGAATGCATGACATTTAAACAAATGTACCTCGTTTTTAAGTTATTTATTAGAAATTTTATTTTATCTTATTGTTCACAGCTATTAAGTATAATTTTCAATAAATTTCTTCGATCAGGCAAAAAGTCTCAATGGAATAGAGTGCAAAATTAATTATATTACTGTGTAAATTTCTTATGCATTCTTATAATATAGAGAATTTTGCAATAATAGTAAATCTGTTATATTGGAATTTATTTATAAATTTTTTTTTGGTGAATCTTGTTTTGTTGATTATTTTACAATTTTTAAATTCTTTGAAAAAATTAAAAAAGATTGAATAAGATTCTTTTTTATAAGCTAATAAACTTTTTATTTGATTATTAAGTTTATTTATCTTAACCATTTTATTTGCATCATTTTGAAACTTTTTGTTCTTTTTAAAAACACTTTTGCATCATGCTTTGATCTTTTTACGCAATTTAGGAATTTGAATAACTCATATAACTACTGCTGTTTTTTTCCCCCTTAAATATTTTGCTCAGAAACTTTCTTATTTAAATGACTTGAATAAGTTATATTTAAATTCCCTAATAAAAATTTATGTTTGTTATTTATGAATTTATTGAGATTTTTTAATTTATTGAGTTGCTAATATAATTAAGGCACCTGGAGTTGCTGAATTTTCAACTGGTGAAATCATGGGGCATTCTGGAGATAGGTTAGCTGCTGCTTTTGAAGTAACACGTGAAGAGCAAGATAAATTTGCTTTGAGATCCCACACTCTTGCAGATAAAGCTTCAAAAGAAGGATTATTAACTGATATTGAACCTATGTTTGTACCAGGTAGGTCAAAGTAAATTTAATAAACTTTAATTCAATGAAAGTATAAATCTAAGCTCATTAAGCTAAACTTTTAAAAAACTCATTTTCCCTTCATGGGATTCTTATACTATTTTGCACTTTTTCATTACATTTCTTTTTGTAACTTTTATCATTATTTTTTTTTTACAAGGATTCCAAAAATTAACCTCACATAGGTTGTCGTGAAATTTTTAAAATGCTTAAAAGCTTGTAAAATGGGGTTCATACCTGAGAAAATCCTAAGAACATGTTTTTTTTTTATAGAAAGAAAAATTTTACTAAACAGAAGGAAAATGAATAATTTTACTGAAAACTTCGAAAAAGTGAAATTGCAGAGCCGTTTATTCATATTTTAATTAAGGACATTTTACATTTTTTTTTTTCTTTTTAAAGAAAAGTCATAATTTGTTACTAAAACTTCTTAAGATAAAATTTTCAATTTACCAACATAAATACAATATTGTTGGTAATTTTAGGTTAAGAAAACGTTTTTATTGGAACTTTAAAATTGTATTTTTTTAAATGCAATTGTTACTTAAATAAAAATTGTGATTTTTTTTTTTAACCAAAGATAAGGCTTGTAGTTGATTATTGGCTGTTTTTTATTTGAAATTCTTTAAAATGTTGAGAATTGTTTGAACACAAGACTTTGATTTGTAGGTGAATAAAAAAGGCTGTATATCTTAATATTGTACAGTTTAATCAAATAATGTGTTAACAGGGTGCGTAGCCAAATTATTCAACAAAAAATAAGCATCTTTTAAGCACTTTTCAAGCACTCACAAAATATTTTTAAGCACTTTAAAAAAATGTCATAATTAGGCATGGTTGGAATGTTTTTGACAATAAACAGTTTTATATTGTTTCAACCCTCATGTCAAAAAAAAAAAAAACTTTCGGCGTTGTTTTAGACACTTGTCAAAAATCATGAAATTTTGAATCGTGTAAAAGGAATGGTGTTTTCATAAGCTACAGACTGACAATACGCCAGAATAGAGAGGGGTTGAATTAATTGTGAAAACACTGAATAGAACAATGTGAACTGTATCTTTTTGCATTATTCGAAGCGAAAATCAACATAGTAAAGGAAAAATCTAATTTTGCAAAAGGGAAAATTAAGCACTTTTTAAAAACACTCAGTAACAAAAGCACCTTTAAGTGCTTTTAAAAAACGAAAATCAAAAATAAGCACCTTTAAGCACTTTTTAAAAATGCCACACACCCTGGCTAAGATGATAACGTTTTGTATTGATATTAATGCTTATGACTTTTTTTTCTTAATTATCATGCTTATAAGATTTAACCAGTGTTTTCTAGTGTGATATTCTGTGTTGAAATAACTGTTACTAATGCTCAGGGGAGTCAAAATTATATATTTGAAACCTCATTTTTTTATGAATAAACAAAACAATTTTAATAGATGTTGACAATCTAATTTTTAGAGTACATTCTGTTTCAAACTTGTTTATAAATTTTATATAGAACACTCTCTAATTTTTAAATGCTATTAAGTATTGTAGTTACTTTTTTTTTCTTTTAGGAAAAAACAAACCAATATCAAAAGATAATGGCATAAGAGTTTCATCTCTTGAACAAATGGCAAAATTGAGGCCAGCATTCATCAAACCACATGGCACAGTAACTGCTGCAAACTCATCATTTCTGGTAAGCATATGAGATGTAAAAAAAAACAGGGTATTTTCCTGGTTAACTAACATAAATTCATTAATACCTGGGTGTTTATGAGCTTTTCTAAATTCAATAATTGTGCTTTCTTTTAAAGTTTCATTTAATAATTTATACTTAAGACAAAAATGAGCTTTGCTGATATTGACAAAATTGTTTTTTTTTTTTTTCCTTTCCTGTTCATTTGAATAAGTTTTTCTTCTTAGTGGGGAGTTATAATTAAATTTTTTTTTTAAACTTTATTAAATGTAAAAAGTTTATTCATTTTCTTAAATTATTTTCGAAAGTTACACAAAACACAACTCTTATTGTTTTTCTTGCATATAAGTGATACTCAATTCTTTCTCTGTTTCGTATTGTGGTGTGAGGCTGTGTTTCGAAATGACACACAAATGTGTTAATAGTTGGCCGAGGAATTTTTATATCACAATAACAAAAAAAAAATAGAACTTTATGTTAATGATTTTCAAGAGTGTGAAAAATGTATGGTTGCTAAATTACAATATTTAAGTTTAATGGTTGACAAGTTTTTTCATTGTAGAAAAAATAGCCTTTACACAAATTAATGATACTGTGTTTTTTTTCCATATAAAACTATATGTTTAATATAGTTTATTGAATAATTCTAAATATATTTTATTTATGAATGTTCAATATCTCTTCTTAGGTTACTAATTTTAGAGAAAAATGAAATTTATTCATACTTACCTAAACAGTTTTAAATCTCATCAAAATTTTATTTGCATTAAGGACCTTGTATTCCGAACTAAATGTCAGCCTCTCTAAACATTACTGTATAAATTCAGTTTTCATTAACTTGCTGTACCTAAATTATTTAGTCAAATTAATATTTCAAAATTTTTGTTTCATAATTCTTCATGCTTAATTTCTTCTTAAATTCAAAGTGTTTATTAAATTCACAAATATGTTAATAAATTTTGAATATTAAATTATTAGTTTTAAGAAAATTAAAATGCAGAAAATATTATGTAAACCAAATATCAACTAATTTTAATAGAATTTTGAGCTAACATTTAATAAATAGGCAAAAAAAAATTTTTTTTATTTAACTAAACATTTAAATAAAATTTATTAAAGAGAAATTTCATTATTCTATCTGCTTTGCTTGATAAAATTGATTTGACTCTTTAGGATTTCTTCCATTTCATATAGTTTATTTATTAATTTTTGCATTTTCTTGGAAATAATATTTTTATTTGTCATAAGAGTGTCCTATGTTGAGTTTCAATCACTTCAAATTTTTTCTTTAATATACTAAATTATACAGATCTTTTTTGTTATTTTTTTTAATGAAATCATACCTAATATAATAAAGTTCTTTTATTGGGTAGCCATAGTTTTTGTGAAAATTTTTTCTGCTGCTGTGAAATTTTAAGTTGCAAGCTTTTGTGTCATAAAAACATTTATAATATTCTTAAATCTGTAATAAAAAAAATTTTGTTTATACGTTATAAAAATGACTGAAAACTATAAATACACTGATTTTTTTTATGAGTATTTGCCCAGGATAAGAATGAATACCTGGGAAAATATCCTACTCAATGAATAATTACCAAACCCATGTTGATAGCGTCTTCCCCTGTGAACTTGAGAAGAAAAGATATTTTCTGAAATATATCCCAGATAGCAATATAAGGTTTT